CACCAGGAGCAGAGAGAGTGGATGTACTTTGAGGCCACTGGGCGAAAGGACTGCTGTATGCATTCCCACCTCTTCCTTTGATACGAGCAACCATCAGGAAGATATTGCAGGAGCAAGCAGAGGTAATACTCATTGCACCGCACTGGCCAAGACCGCCGTGGTTTGCTAATCTCGTAAACCTATCTACATCTCCACCGTGGAGGATTCCACACGACCAAATTTCCTTCAGCCAGGGATCCCTGCTACATCCAGACTCACAGTGGCTCCAATTGACTGCCTGGCGCTTGAGTGGAGTCTCCTAAAGAGAGACAACTTCTCACAAAGAGTCATTAGAATGCCTACAACTAACAGAATCTATGATTCCACTTGGAAAAATTATTGCCGTTGGTGCAACAGGCAACAACTAGAACCATGCAACATCTCTATCCCAGATATCTTAGACTACCTAGCGGAAGGCCTGGATAGGGGGTTAGTACCCAACACAATTTGTAGACAGGTGGCTGCCCTATCAACCATTCTTACCTATGGCAACTCTGAAACTTTAGCCAGACACCCAATGGTGGGATCCTTTGTAAAGGGCGCATCTAACAGTGGTACACAGATACCCTTCCTGGGATCTACCTAAGGTCCTACAGGCCATAACCTTACCTCCATTTGAGCCTGCCAGGACCTGTGACCTACAGTACCTGACTCTTAAGGTCGCCTTCTTAGTCGCTATTACCTCAGCAAGACGCATCTCAGAAATAGCAGCCCTGTCAGCGAAGGAAGACCTTTTATACCTTCCACACGGACAGGATGGTGTTACGTTTGGACCCCTCCTTCATTCCAAAGGTCAATTCCCTATTCTACAGAGCACAGGAGATGGTGCTACCAAACTTTTGCCCCGAACCGTCCCATGAACTGGAGCATAAGTGGCACACCTTAGACGTTCACAGAGTTTTAAAGCAGTACATCAAGCGAATGGCACCCTTCCGTAGATCGGAAGCACTATTTGTCTCCTTCCATTCTCACACAAGAGGTCGGAGGGTCACTGCATCCATAATCGGTAGATGGATTAAAAGGTGTATAGTGGACGCTTACAGGGCACAGTCCTTGACGGTCCCCAGATGAATCACTGCACATTCCATGACCGAGGCCCAAGCCTTGGGATCCTTGGCGGAGGCAAACCTCATCTCCATCCAGGCCAAACACATCTCGGGGGAAACAAACAGACAAGTGGACCTCCTAAGCAGGTCGATCGTGGACCACTCCAAATGGCGTCTGCATCCAGACCTATTCACAGAAATAATGCAGACGTTTGGGCAGCCAGTTATAGACTTGTTCGCGTCTCCAGTGAACGGCCAATTCCCGAGGTTCTTCTCAATGTTCCCATCATCCGGAGCGGAGGGAGTGGACGCCCTGCTTTGCCCATGGCTGGGGGGGGGGTCTGCTTTACACGTTTCCTCCTCTTCCGCTGATTCCGGCAACCATCTGCAAGATGTTACAGGAACGGGCGGAGGTCATACTCGTGGCCCCACATTGGCTATGAAGACTGTGGTTCGTGGACTTGGTGAATCTCTCCAGATCTCCCCCATGGAGGATTCCCCCAGGCTGAGTGTCACTCAGGCAGGGAGCTCTGCAACACCCAGAACCCCAATGGCTTCAGTTAGCCTCCTGGCACTTGAATGCCAGATCTTGAGTGGGGAATCATACCCGTCAAGAGTAATTTCCATGATTCAGGCATCCTGCCAACTCGCAACAAATCGCATCTATGACTTCACGTGGAGGAACTTCTGCAGTTGGTGCGAAAGGCGACAACTCAATGCCTCGGACCTAACAGTTCCAAACATCCTAGAATATCTGCTCGATGGCCTGGACAGGGGTCTAGCACCTAATACCATCCGCAGACAGGTCGCAGCGCTATCCACTTTTCTTACCTGCACCAATTTAGTCCCCTTGACACAACACTCCGGGATTCGCACCTTCCTTAAGGGTGCCACCAACACAAAACCACCCATAGTCTACAGGTACCCTTGCTGGGAATTACCACGGGTACTTTGGGCCCTCAGCAAGGCACTGTTCGAGTCCATCAAGTCTTGTACTCTGAGGACTTGTCCCTCAAGGTCACTTTCCTGGTCGCTATCACTTCGGCCAGGCGTATCTCTGAACTCGTGGCACTGTTGGTCAGGGAGGACCTCTGTTCCTTTCATCAAAACCGAGTGGTTCTCCGCTTGGACCCAACCTTTGTTCCTAAGGTCAACACCCTGTTCCATAGAACCCAAGAAATCGTCCTACCAGATTTTTGCCCCAATCCGTCCCATGCCTTAGAATGACAGTGGCACACACTGGATGTTCATAGGGCATTGCGATACTATATCAAGCGAATGGCGCCCTTCCGCAAGTCGGAAGCCCTCTTCGTCTCATTTCACCACACCTCTAGTGGGCAGAAGGTATCTGCCTCAACTATAGGCAGGTGGATCAGGGCTTGCATTGTGGAAGCGTATCAATCATTTTCTTTACCACCACCAGGGCAGATTACAGCACATTCCACTCGCAGTGCTGCAGCCTCTGCAGTGTGGGCCACACAGGCCTCTTATCGAGGAGGTTTGCAGGTCGGCAACATGGTCTTCACCCTTCCCATTCCTCCGACACTACAAGATAGACTGTTTTGCATCCGCGGACGCCTCCTTTGGAAGGAGGGTTTTCCACGCAGCATCGGCCTCTTCTGTTTCCCTCCCATTGGGACAGTGAGGCTTTGGTATGTCCCATTGGGCGTTGTCTTACCTGAATGCCTTTTCTCAGCACGGAGATGAAGAATCCACTCCCACACTTAAAAATAATTAGTTCATATTAGAGAACCGGGAGCCAACATGTCGAATTGTAGTCAGCCGCTTCGCCTTCATCAAGAATGGGGAGTGGTTACTCAAGGATGGATGTGGCAAATTTGGCTGACTTGGTCTAATGGGCAGGAAGGCAGAGTTAACCCATTGATGGATTCTCCATCTCCGTGCTAAGAAAAGGTGTTAGGTAAGACAATGCCCCTTCCCTTCCTTTCCAGTGGCAGGTTGTAGCTGCTTTGGTTCTGCACTCCTAAGGGATTATTTCATTTAGAGGTATGGAGAAATTAATTCCTTACATTTTCTGTTTCTTTAACTGACTTTGGTCTGTCTTTTCACCATTCAGCTAACTGGTGGCTCCTTGTCGCGAGTTGGGTTGCTGTATACATTTAATATACAACCAAAAAAACATACCTTGACTTGACTTGAACAATAATGGTCCTGATAGATTCATTCTGAGAAAATTGTGTGATTGCTGCTTGTGATTAGTGCTAGCTACAGTGAAAGTTACATTGAAAGTGACTTTCACTTCTTTGTGATTAGGATTTTTGTAAAAAAAAAAAACTTTGTAAGACAATCAACAGTTTTCAATTTGTAGCTTCTGTAGAAGGAAGGAAGGAGTTAGTAGAACTGAAAAACTCCTATATATGAATACATTTTTTATTCATTGCATAGAAATACCATAGGATAACGTGATTTTCTTCAAACCTCCTTCTATTTCCACTAAAGCATTTCTTATAATTCAGTGGTTATGCATTTTTAATAGCCATAAGTAGATTCCTTATTAGAAAAGCCAAATCAGTTTATAGATAAGCTCATTGTTTTAGAAGAAAAAGTCTCATAATTATGTCATATAAATGTTTTCTGCAACTGTATTCTAACACAAGATAAGACTTTCAACAATATTTTGAAAAGCAGTCAATGATAATAATCAACAAAATTATCATCAGTCAAATATCAAAGGTAGCTTTATTTGGAACAGCTTATATCCTGCAATAGAACCTTTAATATCATTAAACAACAACTGCCTGTCTCAGTTGCTTGGGAAAGAGTTGATAGATGGACAAAAATGGTAAATCCAGTCTAAACATGGCTATGTGATTCATCATAATATAAAATTTGGACCTAGTGAGGAAAAAGGTTATAAAATAATTAATAGTATATATCTGAATTCTGAGTACAATTTGTATCATATCAGCTTTTGCATACCTGAGAAGTATTTCTGTAATTTGGAAAAAAAAATCTAGGCATTGGCTAATACTGCTTGAGGGCCTTTGGTGTAGGTCAGGGGTGTGAAACTGCCGGCCCAAAAGCTGGTTGCATCATGCGGAGGCTGCGCCCACCCCAGCTTTGGCAATGTAAAAAAAGGCATGATATGTCGCAACATATCACGTGACGCAGCGAGTTTGACATCAGTGATGTAGGTGGTTAAGACATCAAGCTAGAAAGTAGGAGATGGTGAGTTTAATCCCATCTTTGGCATGAAGCCAGCTGGGTGACCTTGGGTTAGTCAGATTTTTCTCAAGCTTAGGTAGTGGCAACTGCTTCTGAAAAACTTTTGTCAAGAAAATTGCAGGGGCTTGTCTAGGCAGTCTTTGAAAAAGAGACATGATTGAATGGACGAAAAATTAATTATTTATTGTTTTGCCAGTATAAATAGTAAAAATGCTTCTTTTTGCTGAAGGGGGAAATACATACAGTAATTTTCATGTTAATATTACGTTTTGATATTTTAATGAAGATTGATGTAATCAAGCTAAGTAAATTTTAATGGAATTACTGTAATTGTGAAAGTTATAAATGTAGGATTGTATATATTAAAAATCTATCAACAGGTATCTTTTAGAAAAATGATTTGATACTAAAGAGAAAAAAGAATTTTGATATTTTTCTTTAGATATATTTTTGTCATTTATTATGGTAATTTAGTATATGATATTAAATTTAAATATCTAGTGAATTGTGTATGAGAAGGTAGAAAAGGAATTTATGACAAGCAGGGAACTGGATATTTGTAAAAAACTTCAAACTTGTGAAATTGCATTTAAGGTAGAGGAGCTGAGACAGTTCCTTGTATTATTGTTACCCTACATCCACAGAACGTCTACACCTTGCAACTGTATTCAGTTGCATTTTTCTCTGTAGCTCTTCGATGGTATATTTCACTCTTGACCCTATTTCCAGGAGATGTACGAGTAAGAAGTCGGGCAGGATTTGAAAGAGAGAGAAGAGGTTCTCATCCATACATTGATTTCCGTATTTTTCACTGTAAGTATTTAATAGCAGTACAGTAATGAAGAATTCCATTTGTGTTTGGCTGCTGCGCGTATAGTCATGCAGGTTTTATTAACTAATACTTCTCTTTTATGGAAATAATTTCTATTTGAGAAATTATGAACATACTCTATGTAGAATATTACAGTATTGTTTCTTAAGCTACATTATATGAAGTTGAAAAAAAAAGCACAATGGATTCAGACTTAAGGGTGTATGAGGAAACAAACATAGCAGTTGTCTCCAGATCTCTAAATTCAAGTATGTCTTTTCCTGGGATAGTGCAGTGCAGTAACTACAGAGAGTAATTGAATGATCTTTTGAAAAAACATAATTGTCTATCTTCACATATTAGGGCATAATTAGAGAATCTCATTATTGTGTAAATTTACCCGTTCCATTGGCAAAGAGGCAATATTCTATAGGAATGTAAAACTCCTCTCACCTCTCCCAGACTTTAAGAATTAAAGACTCTGATAGCATAGGACAGGGGTAGGCAACCCAAAACACTTAAAGAGCCACTTGGACCTGTTTCCCACCAAAAACAAAACACTGGGAGCCGCAAAACCCTTTTGATATCTAAAATGAAGATAACACTGCATATATCCTTTTTTACCTTTATTATAGGTGTGTGTGTGTTTGTGTGTGTGTTTGTGTGTGTATGTATGTGTGTGTGTATATATATATATGTATATGTATTTATGTATGTGTATGTATACACACACACACACACACACACACAGGTTAAAAAAGGATATATGCAGTGTTATCTTCATTTTAGATGTCAAAAGGGTCTCTCTCTCTCTCTGTCTCTCTCTCTCCCTCCCTCTCTATCTGCCCTTGGTCTGCCACTCCTCTTCCCCCGCTCTCTTTCTTTCTCTCTCTCTTTCCTCTCTCTCTCTCTCTCTCTCTCTCTCTCCCTCCCTCTCTCTCTCCCCCCCTCCTATCTGCTGCTCACCTGGCAAGCTTCAAGCTGTTGTTCAACAAGCTCAGGGATAAGCAACCTCGTCTCTTTTATGACTCATGGACTTCAACTCCCAGAATTCCTGAGTCAGCCTAGCTGGGCTAGCTAGCTCTCTCCTGCCCTTCCTGCTTCCTGCAGAGACGCAGCAAAGGGAGGAGCTCCGCCCAGTAAACTTTTCAGCTCCTCGGAGAATACTGTGAGTGCACTCTCTTTTACACATACACACAGACACAGATACAGACACACACACACACACACACACAGAGAGAGAGAGAGAGAGAGAGAGAGAGAGAGAGAGAGAGAGAGAGAGAGAGAGAGAGAGAGAGAGAAGCAGGGAAGCGCAATTGCCTCTCTCTGTCTCTGTCTCTCTCTGCAAAGGCAGAGGAGGCTGGGAGCCACAGGAGAAGCCTCAAAGAGCCGCATGCGGCTCCGGAGCCACAGGTTGCCGACCTGTGGCATAGGATGACCACTCTTTGTCTGTTTAGATAGCCATGATGATAAGGTAGAAGTGCAAATGTTTTCACTTTGGACATGGCTTGAAATTTTAATGATAAAATTCATAAGATTCTACTAAAAGATAGACTGTAGTTGCAAAATGAGAGGCTTGAGCAAATCATGACATACTGGATGTAATTATCTCTATTTTTAAAATACTATCTTCTATGAATGTTTAAAATGCTTGGATTAATCAGAAAGCTGCTTCTTGACAGAACACTGAAGATTTGTTTATTTCAGCTACATATGAATATTATGTAAAGAGGTTCTGATATTCCTGGGAGACTTTGACTTTATTGTACATTCTTTCATGGGATGACTTCCCCACATTTTGATTTGAATTTTCTTTAATTTGGAACACTTTCTTTATATGCAAAGTGGAATGTTTTGAGTATTTTGGAAGTATTTTAAGTTCAGCTGTTTCAATTCTGAAACACTTCATAGATACTCAGTTTAGGTTGCCCTCAAATTACAACCACTTGTTTAGTGACTGTTCAGAGTTACAGCATCATTGGAAAAAGTAAATTACAACCAGTGCTCACACTTACAACTGTCATAATATCTCCATGGTCACAAGATCAAAATTTGGGGGCTTGGCAACTGGTTATTTATTCATGGTGGTTGCAGTGTTTCATGGTTAGACAATTGCCATTTGCAGCCACTCCAGCCAGCTTCCAAAAGCAAAATTTATTGGTGAAGCTGGTTTTGCTTAACATAAACATAGTTTATTTAACAGCTGCAGTGAATCACTTAATTGTGGCAAAAAAGGTTTTAAAATCAGGTGTGACTCGCTTAACAATCACCTTAGCAGAAATTCTGGTCACAATTGTGGACATAAGTTGAGGCCTACTTGTATGTTGCTTTCAAAAATATGCTGAAGCTCTTCGTGAATACAATTCTTTCATCTATTCACTGTACTAGAAAAAAAGCAGGAAGTAACAATAGCTTTCTTTTTCTTTTTGTTTGAACTGTGAAACTGTAGTTGCCAGCTTTCAACAAGGCACAATCTTTAACACCATATGGCACTGAATTAAAATTCTGGTTTAATAAAGTTGCTTGACATAATTTTCTGATTCAGGTAAATTGAATGACCATTATCTGCATTCATCTTACTATAGTTAGGATCATCCAAGATTGTGCTGGAATCATTGATTGAAATGGGAATTTAGTGTCTCATTTTGATCCATCCTATTTTCTAGTCCTTTAATGTTGTCAAGTAAAAAGAGAAGGGAAAAGAGTATGCAATTGGAATTATGTTTTTCCTCTAGCATCTTGAAAATGCCTGCTCACTACTATTAAAGGGTATATCTCCTGATAGAAAAACATTAAAATAGTTTTTTGAAAGCAAATGAACTTGATCAGGTACTTTATCACTGGTGAGCATCTTAGTCTGAACTTTGGTAATAGTTGTCTATTGAATTTCCTTCCTTCCATCCTCCCTTCCTCCCTCCCTCCCTCCCTCCCTCCCTCCAAATTGTGCTAATATTCATGTATATTGGAGAGCAGGTAATTTAACAAGAGTTGTATCTTAATTATGAATAATAAGAGACTGTAAAACCTAATTCCCTACATGAACAATTATTGAGGTTATTTGAAGTAAGCAACAATGGCCGTGGCATATTACTGGGCCATGAGCCGTTCAGAACTGGGCCATGGAAGTGGTGGGTGCATTCCCACTTCTGTGAGCAGTGGGCAAGCAAGCGTGCACGCATTCCATTTGCATGAACATTAGGCGCACATGCCCACCACTTGTGGAAATGGAACTGAGCGCATGCACGCTTACTGACCACTTGCTCAGAACCATCTCCTCACCTGCTAGTCCGCAAATGTGAAAAGGTTGGGGAACTCTGGTTTAGAAGGCAACCATTTTCAGAGCCATTTTTTCTATTTTCATTGTTTTACATGGACATTAATAATCTTTAGCTTGAGAATGACAGCTGAAATGTTTAAAAGACAACCTTTATTCACACTAGAAATAGAGGTTAAAGAGCCTTAAAAGGAAGAAAAGGCAATTGAAATACATCACGGAGTGAGATTTGCTGGTATTTTCTGTACCAAGTTGGAAGGTCTAAGCTGCCAATTACTTATACTGAGTGCATTAATGTGAAAATTATTCTAGCTAACTGGTTATGTGACTCTTCACTAAATTGACTCAAAAAATCCACCATGATATTGTCTACATCTAGGCAGATTGATACAATTTGTCTATGTTTCAGTTAGTGATTTTTCTTATTCCTGCCTTGAGAATCTGGGAGTTAAATTTAGAGTCCTATGGGAAAAGTATGTGCTGTACCATTGTCGATTGATCTTGTGAATGATAACCACAGGACAGTATATTAAGTCATTCATCCTTACATTTCTATTTTATTGTTAAGATGGAAAAAATAAGTTTATTCATTTGTTCTTGTTTGGCAGGAATATTGCTGTGATAGCACATTTAAATGTAGGAAGTATCTGTAGCTGATTGCTCTATTAACAAAGATTAATAAATTTCAGTCCTAGAAATGTTAGTTAACAAGACAAGAGAGATAATGATATTTGGACTAACATATACTCATGAGCTTTCTAACTGGAGTATAATTCTATTGGTTTTATATTTTCACTGTATCTTTTGGGTTGGATTAAAATGGGCAGTAAAGAACATGAAGTCATGTGACTAATAACACTTTATAAATGTACACATAATATTTGACTAATACTGTTTGGAAAGTAGCTATATACATCCCCCCATAATTGTAACTTGTTAGAGCATGTTCTGATTCCTTCTGTTGCTATAGCCTTTTCTCAGTCACTACCCATATACATGTGAAATTGTTATCAGACTGAATCCATACCTACTTGTACATTGTTTGTTTCTGATAACTCTATGTTAGAGTGGATTTTAGAAATATTGGCATTATAGTACAGTTTAATGTGTGTGCTTTTCAGATGAAATTGTTATATCTCAAGTTTTGAAAATTGCCTCAGAATCTTGACAAGGAGTAAAACTGTAGTGTAGAGTTATACTTATATAGGCACATACTTAAAATGTGATTGCAACCAAAAGTTTGAAACTTCTAATTTAGTTATTTTTAGTATATTAAAATAAAGCCAAAACATTCTAATGTTTTTTCTGTGCCCTGTACTTTCTCATTACCAATAACTTGACAAGGATTTCAAAAAATCTAGTGAAGATCAATATTGCTCTTAACTTCACAGTATTGCTAATCTCTGAATTGTTCCACTTTACTAGTAAATGTACATCTACATATCCATACATACATACATATAATCAGAAATTAATCCTGTTAATATTTGTGGAATTTATTCTCAATATGTAAGTGCATATAAAATTATAGTCTAGGTAGGTTAAACTGTCATGGTATAGTTAATTGAAAACTGGCACTTTCAGTTAATATTATTACAGAATGTATACATTATTTAAGCTTTGTGTGCTTCATGTAAAGATATATTTTTTGTAAAATGTTTCTAAATGTTAAAAAGCCAGAATGTTTTAAACTAGATTTTATTATAGTTTCATTTACTATTATTTGTTGGTTCCAGAGTTGTCCATAAAAATGCTTGAAGAATAGAGTCTTAATCTACTTGAGATCTGTGTTCACAGATGGACATTTATTTTGTGGAATTCAAATGCCCTTATCATCTCTCTATATCAGTGTTTCTCAACCTCAGCAATTTTAAGATGTGTGGACTTCAACTCCCAGAATTCTCCAGCCAGCATGCTGGTTGAGGAATTCTGGGACTTGAAGTCCACAAATCATAAAGTTGTTGAGGTTGAGAAACACTGCTCTATATCACCTCCATCCATAAGATTCCTCAATCTTTTGTTACAGATTTTTTGAAATGAAAAGTGAAAGGGATTGTGCATTCATTTGGTGTTAGCAAGTTTGAAAACTCTTGTTCTGATCAGACCCTTACTTAGACCTATGACGCTTATGTAGTTAATTTGTAAACCTGGCCATTTGGATGGCCTGCCTGCCTCCCTTAGAAATTGACACATAACACTAAGTCATAATGTAAGAACTGATACCAGTAGCTGAATGCTACTTACAGAATTTAAAGAAAAAAATGTTATTCACTCTTTAAGTTGTGTCCAGTTCTTCACAACCACAGGGACAATAGCATGCCAGCCCCCCCCCCCCTGCCCAAACTCAGACTCAAAAGACTCATCTATATATGAATTATATGTTAGTAACTTTGGAAATAATTTCATGTTTCTTGTACTTCAAATTCTGGCCAGCTGGTTTGGGTCCTTGGAATAAAATTATACTTTCACTGCTTTTACTTTACTTTGTTGTTTGCAGATTATTGGGCCAGAGGGAGTAAAGGGTTGATAGGTTAGATATGATGTTCAACATGGTACTTCTTTTTCCCCTATAACAGTTTCATGGATATATCAGTGTATAGTAAGAACTGCTAAGGTTATAAAGAAGAGGAGTCAATATAATAAGATGTTGAAGCAGGTTTGGGGAAAGCCAGGTTTACGTCCACCTTCAGTCACAAAAATCCATTGTGATTACCAGATCTGACTTCCTCCCATTCAAGTTATCTTTTCATAAGCTGATCCCAAAGCTTGGAAGAAAGATGATACATACATATATAAATAAACGTACCTGAGTATGCTAAAACAAATGCATGCTTTTCACTTCTGAAATGTTTATTTTATAGTAATGGACAAGTATGTGAAATTTTTAGAGTACAGTTTTGTCTGTATGGAGAAATGATTTCCATTTTCAAAAATAAACTTTTTGAGAATCATTAGCTTTTTATGTAGACATCTATTTTTCTCTAGTATTCCTTTCCCTTTTAATTGATATATTTCAACTTGGTCAACAGTGTTCTTTTCCTGCTGTCATGTACTTTCTTCCTCTCTTTCCCAGTTTGAAATCTGAGAAAAATTGGTCAATTTGATCAGAAACATGACCATGTTTCTCTTCTGTAGATCCTTTAAAAACATGTTCTAGAATAAAAAGACATTCTAAAAGCACAAACTGTCTTTCTCCTTATTCAGTTCATGGCTTCTTTAAACAGAGGTGATTTTTTTCATTTTTTGGGAAGTATTAGGATTTGTCTTTAAAGCGCTATTGGAAAAGGAATGCGAACTTATCTTGTGAAGATACATGTCTTGCTTACAATTAATGTCTTTATTTACAGGATTGTACTTTTGATATCCAAACCACTATTCAGTGTTTGATGAGTGTATTTATTTTGAGGTGTAGGAGTTTGATATATTGGATGAAAAATACCTCAATTTTTCTTGATAATGGTAATTTTACATTTATTTTGTATTCATTTCTATTTTGCCTTTCTTTGAAAGAACTGATTGAGTACAATTAAATGTAGTATAGGATAATGCATTAAATCATATTGAATGTGCTTCTGAAATGTGAAGTTACGTCATGGGGTTAAATTATTTAGCATGAGACTTAATGCAGAGAACTTAAAAGTAGTACAAGTATTCCTCCTTTAGCAACTTTTTTATTCAGTGATCATCCACAGTTATGATTGTGGTGAAAAAGTTAACTTTATGACCGCTCTTCGCATTTGTGACCTTCACAGGTCTGTAAAGCAAAGGAAAGCTGAAGTAAGATCATAAAGTTGCTTTGGATAGCAAAAGGTGCGGTATCATAAATTTAATAAACACATTTACTGTTTCACTTGTCAATTATTTTATGACTTAGTTGCCAGTTCCAATTGTGGTAACTAAATGAGAGCTACCTGTAGTTTCCTTCCCCTTCCCCCAAAGTTTTATTTACAAAGTGACCATTTAACATTTTGTTCAGGCAACATAAAATTATGGCTTTGTGGATGACTAGTTCCTAAAAGTGTTGAAGGATCCACAGAGTGGGCTTTTCTAAAAATGGCCCTATTTCTCATATTGTCTGAAAAATACCAGAAAAAAATGAGTATTATGACTTTTATGTTGAAAAAGTATCAAAATAGGCTTAAAGTATTTTAGTAAAATCTGAAAATAAGAGCTTAAAGATCTTAACTGCTAGATAGATACACTTTATTTCATTAGTTTCAGAAATGTTTTTGTGTCAGAGACTGCAGTGGCTATAAAGCTCATGAATAAATATAGGAATACAAATAGAAAATGCAAGATGTACATTTTAGAAATAAGGGTTCTCCAGCACTGGAGATGGATAATCCACTAATGGATTAACTTAATCCTCTTGCCCAATCAGATCAAGTCAGCCAAACTTGCCACACCTGTCCTGGGCCTGATTTGCCCCAGTTTTTGACTTGCTCTTGCCCAGAACAGACGTGCAGGTTTGGCTCACAGGCAGGTAGTTACCCTTTAGTGGATTATCCATTAGAGTGCTAAAATTTCTAAAATAACCTGACTTTTAGTTCCCTGAGTAGCGCTGGGACCAGCGCTCTTCCAGAGGAATATTCCTTACTGACTCCTATTGGGTTTCAGTTTCCTAACAGAGGACCCCGTTCTCTCCCCAACTTACTTTCCCCCCCATTCACTCCTCGCTGGGTAAAGGGGGATCTCTTCCGTTTTTTCTTCCTTCGCTTCCAATTCCCCCCCCCATTCGCACCAACTCCTCTGGCTTCGGACCTTTTCCCTCTCTTCCTCTCTACCTCCCACCAACTTTCCTGGCGTCGGGGCTTGCGGCTACAGCTCCGACGGCCTTTAAAGAGCCCGGCCCGGCTTGCAGAGGTCATAGGGACCTCGGATTGACTTGCCGCGTTTTTCGGACGCTGCGGTGAGGACTCACTCTCTGGCGTCGGAGCTTGCAGCTGCAGCTCCGACAGCCTTAGAGGGCTGGATCGGCGTGTGGAGGCCGCAGGGGCCTTGGATTGTCCTCGCCGCGTCTCTCAGTCGTTCTGGTGGCTGCTGCATAAGGGTTTTCTGTGGCTGAATCTCTTTGCAAATAATAAAACTTCCAGATTACACAGGATTATAGATATGTTTTATTATGTGAATTCTAAACTCTCACGGTTGTTGGTCGAGTATGTCATTAATGTTTGTTATTGTATGGCCAACCATAAGTTTATTTTCAGAACTTAGCCTGAACCATTGTTCTGATAAGATTTATGATTAGTCCACTCACAGGAATTAAATAGCAATAGTTTATCTGCTAAAAGTCTTGGAATGTATTCATTCACTGTATCCAGTAACTAGAAGACCTGATGTATTGAATTCAGCTTCAGAGACATGAAGTAGATTTCAAGCAATAAATTGGTTTTTATACATTTATGTTAATGGCATCATTACAGTTGAATGATAATTATAGCATAAAATAATCCAGATATCTAAATAATTTTTTCTCTTGCTTTGTCTTTTTGGGGATTTAAATGCTGCACCTTAAAATTCATCAGGTAAAATTTGCTCATGAAAGACATGTTCCTGACACTTGCTAATTGGATTGGGGGTTAAAGCCTGTTTACATTAGTTCTTTCCTGAAAATCTGATCCATATGTACTTTGGAGGGCTGGCAAGGGAATGTTGAAGAAGAGAAAATTGCCTTTCCCTAGATAGAAATAGGTTATTTTACAGTCAAACCCTAAATATTCAGCACTAATCTATATTGTTTTTTTGTTTAATAAATGAGCTGACTTATCTGATTACCAAACAAAACTGAAATAGTTAACACCAGATGAGAACTTTTGATCCACAAGTTCTCATCAGTCCCAAGTCAGTGGGATCAGTGGTTGGTAATGATGAACATGATAGCCCATAACATCTTGGGAGGGGGAATATATGTTTGGCTTTTCTTCTGTAAATAAATATTGTCTTTATAGATTCAGCTTTTGAAGTTTTAGGAAAGGGTTTTTTTTACAACTTAAATCTCACTATTTCCCTCCCATCTAGCAAATTCTGAATTTGAAGTTTCTGTGTCTGCAAGAAATATCCGAAGGTTATTGAGTTTCCAGCGGTACTTGAGATCTTCCCGTTTCTTCCGTGGTATTACTCTTCCAAATTCTTCAAACATTTTAGATGATGATTACAATGGGCAAGCTAAGGTTTGTTTTTGTAGTTATCTTGTAACTTTGCTCTAAATAAAATAGTAATTTTTCTTAAGGTGTGCAAGTAAATAAATAATTTCTATTAAAAGTTAGTAATGCTTCTGTTCCAGACTTATAGAAGTGGCGTTTCTGTTTATCTTCTTGTTCTGCAATTTGCCAACTCTCATCAATTTACATAATATATATATAATCATAACTAAAATTAAAAGTCAACACTAACAACAAGTCAATGTAATAAAATATGCATAATGCATAAACCTAGGAGAAAGCTGTCCAGAAAATCATGTTTAAATATTTTCCTGAAGACCAGCAGGATCGCTAGTCTGATCGCTGTCAGGCTATTCCAAAGCATAGCCACTGCAACAGAGAAGCAGCACCTTCTACTTCTAGCTTTGCCTAAAAAAGTATCTACATAGAAGTAGATCTAACTGTAGATCTGAAAGCAGTGGGCAAAATCTTTGTCCATAGTAAGGTTCAGATGAGTCTGCTTTGTTTTAGAAATAGTTGATCATTTTAATATTGGTCTACTTAGGTTAAAAAAAAAGATGTTTTGCTTCTATGAGAGAAAGCTGTTGATGTAAGAAGGCAGTTGCAACCCATCTGATCCATTAGTGACGAATATGATTCTAGAATTTCTCAAGTCAAAACTATGATGTAGTCTCAGACCTGGAATATTGTTGCTTTTCTGTTCTGACTACTATTCTTTTCAGAATCTGTATAGATTTATAAAATTGCAGCAAGGATGATTCAGATATGTAGCATTTGGAAAGAAATGGTTTTTATTCCCAAATAAAATGTTCTTTTCTTTTGCTTTTCAGTGTATGCTAGAAAAAGTTGGGAACTGGAATTTTGATATCTTCCTTTTTGACAGGCTAACAAATGGTAAGATTCCATTTGTTACTTTGAAGATACTGCTTTAAAAATTGAGCAATTGCTTTATGTGTATATAAGCTCATTTAGATTGTCGGGCTAATATTGACTAATATTCTACTTTCAGACATGAAATCTGGTAATTAGTTGAGTATTGTGCTTGTAGAATTGGGAATAAATTTTCTCTTTAAACCTATGTTGACATTTCTCAGTTTACATGCAGGGCTGATGAGGGAGTGTGCACACATGCTTGTCTCCATGTCCCTGTGTGGGATAGGCTGCTGAAAAGATGTTCATATGGATAATGGGGAAATGGCAAGGGAGTTTAAAAGCATATTCAGTTTAACATTTATAAAACAATTTTATAGGCTGTTAAGTTGAAGGGAGGTCTAGAGAGTGTGTTCATAGCTCCAGTTATGCTTTAGCCTTATGAGCAGAGGAATATCTCTGTAGGGATTTTATGGTAAGAAGTCTGTGGCTCAAGAGACTTGAAACAGCCAGTTCCTTCACTTTTTAAAATTCTTACCCCATACTTTTTAAGGCAATCATGTATTAAGGACGTGTGCAGAATGTGGTAAGGCAGAAAGTTAAGCTTGCATTTAGATTTACAGATGAACTACTTTGTATAAATATATTGTTTGCTTTATGCAATGATTTCTATATCAGTGATTTTCAAACTTGGCAACTTTAAGATGTGTAGACTTCAAATTCCCATTGGCTAAAGTAATCAGCCAGTAATTCAGCCAATAAACAAATTGGGATGGGTGAGTTCTGAAAAAGTGGTTGGAATAGATAATTTCAGAATAGTAGCAAATATATCTAGGGGACTGCCTGTTTTGTGGTTAGTGAGTAAATAAATAAACTCTTAACTATTGAGAGAGGAATCAGAAAAAACTTCGAATTACATCCTTGAAGGTAATTCTTGATTTACAACCATTTGTAAGTTAGACTAATTCCTTTATTATACTTGAGATAATAGAGATAATACTTTTCCAGCAAAATTTTAATTTGTTTTAATATTTTCTAATTTTATTTTGCTAAATGGACAATAGTCTTATATCAAGCTAACTGCTAAATCACCTGGTTCAGTATTAGTCCTCGACTAAACAGCCATTCATTTAGTACCCTTCGAAGCTACAGTGGCACTGAAAAGTGTGATTTATGACATTTTACAACTGATGCAGCATACCCATGATCAAGTGATCAAAATTTAGACGCTTAGCAGCTGACTCATATTTATGATAGTTGCAGTATCCCGTGGGTCATGTGATCACCTTTTGCCATCTTCTGACAAGCAAAGTCAATGGGAAAGCCAGATTCACTTAACAAACTTGTTACTAACTTAACTGCAGTGATTCACTTAACAACTGTGGCAAGAAAGGTTGTATAATGGGGCAAAACTCACTTAACAAATGTCTCACTTAACAACAGAAATTTTGGGCTCAGTTGTGGTTGTAAGTCGATGACTACCTATATAGGATCAAGTAAAAGAGAGAGCAATTGAATTATTATTGTGACATGTAGGAAATGGATGAAATTATTGACATTATAGGCTATTTGGAAATACCTCATTTTCTGTTCCCTGTTGAAGAGTTGTAAATGTCTAATAATGTCACTGTGTAAATGTTCTCTCTCCCTCTCTCTTGAGAGAAGTCAGTGATAAAAAAATTGTGAATGGAATTTATAAAAAGTATAGGTAGTCCTTGCTTACCAAATACCTTATTTAGTGAATCTTTGAAATTACAATGATTTGGGGAAAAAAAGCTTTGCAACCAATCTTTGCAGTTATGGCCGTTCTAGTGTCCTGCAGTCACGTGATCACCATTTGTGAGCTTCAGAACTGGCTTCCAATAGCAGAATTAATGGTGAATGCAGAAGTGAAATTGAAAGTTGTGATCACCTGATTATTGTCATGGTGATGCAATCAATGTGATTTTTTTTCGCCTAGCAATTGTAGCACATAGCAATGGAGCTGCCTGTCCCAATTATGGTTGGTAAACAAGGGCTACCTTTAAGGGACTGTTGAAAATTAATGGATTCATTTTATAATACTGGGTGATAAATTTCTGAATCACTTGGTGATATGAAAGCACTGAACATTAGAAATCTTAATTAAAATATTGAGAACTATATTTTAGTTACAGATTTGAAGAATAAATATGCATGTTATGTATAACAGAATTATTTAAACAGACTTGTCTACTTCCTACTAAACATGGTTTCTTTTTGTATTTTTTTTTTTTTAGGAAACAGTTTGGTCACATTAACCTTTCACCTGTTTAATCTTCATGGACTTATAGAATACTTCCAACTAGATACAATGAAGCTACGCAGATTTTTAGGTAAAAAATTCATAAGTTCAAACTTACCCAGTAAATCTTTTTTTAAAATGCATTTCATTAATTTGCTGCAACTGTTTTCAATAAAATGAGAAAAATGTCTATATTGTGGATTGATAACTCTTCATGAATATTGTCCAATATGACTAAAGAAAAAAAATACCTATGAAAATAGGGAAAGTAAACCAAAAAAATGTGATTATGTAGTCCTGGATATTTCTATATAATAATTTTCCTAGATGTGTGTGAATATATTTGGCAGATTTTACAGAGAAAATCATGTTATGAATATAAAGAAATGATTTTTTTTAAAAAAAGTAGTTTGCAAAATATTACCGAGAAATTGGAAGGCAGAATGTATACCTTGCATTTAGTGATTATTAATCATACTGGCAACTAGATTACATCTCTTCTCCTGCTTTAACTGCAGAGCAATTCAAACTATAGCAGGTATCTTAAGGGGTGGGTAACTGGCATTTTCCAGTATTGTAATACTGAAGTTGAAATGATTAGAAAAACAGTAACGCCCACAACTGAAGAAACCTGGATGTTTTGCAGCAGTTGTGCTACATAGTAGAAAATGAAACACTTTGCTATAAAGGCCCTCGTGCTAATGTTGCACTTAAGTCTGCATATAAATGTATGTTGTATACTGGCATTCTCTGGTAAATTAGTTACTGAAGAATGCAGGATGATACAAGTCAAATAAATTATTAAAGCAAAGACTTCCTTGAGGAAGTACTTGGTGACTACATGAAACATTTTCAGCAATATGGAAACAGCTGTTTTTTACTGCCTTCTGGGATATTACTTGATTTCCCTGTCTTTTTGAATACCTTGAGATTTCCTGGTAATCTCTTGATTTAACCATGGCTCACTGTGCTTGGTTTTTGGATCAGATTTTGGTTAGATGCCAGCTATAGCAAAACAATATATTCTTGATTATAACGTTAAAAAGATGTTATCTAGAAACTTAATTTGGGGGCATTTATTGTCAGTATGCATCTGCTGAATGAGATTATTTTCTGTCCCCTCCCCCCGAAAAAAACATAATGAAATGTCTTATGATTCATAACGTGCTGTAAAGAGAAAAACGTGCTTACATTTATGGCCATAAAATTAATAGGGCAGCATTTTGAATAATCAGACTTCATTTTAGCTTAGATATTATCATTTTATATTGATATTGGCAATGCTTTTCTGAATTTTCTGCTATTCAGTTTTATTTGGACCATATTGGAGTTTTCATGTTTATGTCTACAATAGTCAATGGCTAACAAGATTTAAAAACTTTCCCATATTTGTTACAGGCTTAGAAACATTAATATGCCAGGCATTTCCTGCTTTTTTTTCCAGTTTGAATTTTTAAAATGAATAGAAATTTATTTTCTAGAGATGACAAGGACATTCAGAAATCCCTGAATGTTTTAAAGAAGTTTGCCTTCATTTGAATTTTTCTGCTAAATCATTACTGAAGTTTATCATATTTTATATTATACCTATTGTTGCCATTTTAATTGATATGAATCAAGAACGGAAGGGGTTATTTTGAGGTTGTCTTTTTCCTTTTCCTCCACACATTAATATTTTTCATTTGTAGTAATGGTTCAAGAAGATTATCACAGCCACAACCCATACCACAATGCAGTTCATGCTGCTGATGTGACTCAGGCCATGCACTGTTATTTAAATGAACCCAAGGTAAAAGAAAAAAAGTTCCGTCATTATTTCCATATATTTATAACAAAATTGCTATTACAAAAGAAAATGATCGGTAATGACATTAGTAACATTAAGCAAAGGTAATATAAAACTTAATTGCTTTTGGAAGTGCTTGCTTTATGCCATAGATTATTTTCCTTGATATGATTTCCTCCAGATATATTTCATATATTGGTTGGGGTTTCTGGAGTTCCAGCTTTGTACAAATTGGGAGGGATCCAATTGGGAAAGTTTGTAATACTTTTGAAACTTTTAATAATGTCAAAATCAAGATTATATCAATTATGGGTAGTTCCACATTTGGAAAAAAAAATAACAGTATTACTTATTGTTTCAATATTGCTAGCCCTAGAATTAAAAAAGACAAAGACTTCTGTGTACTAACTAAAATACAATCAAAGTGAGAGAATAACTTGATGCCATGGTCAAACTCTGTTGGAAATGCTAGCCACATTTTTTGGAAGTATCAGTAATAGATATTCCTATTGTCATAATTTATATATTACAGCTTCTACAGTCTCTAACTCAATGGGATATTCTGCTCAGTTTAATTGCAGCTGCCACTCACGATTTGGATCATCCAGGTGTTAATCAGCCTTTTCTTATTAAAACAAACCATTATTTAGCAACTTTATACAAGGTAAGTAGAAAACTAATACTTCTGTCCTTTAATGGGATCTGACTAGCAGTGACTGATCAGGAAAAGAATCTTGAAGTCATAGTACACAGCTTGAGAAAAACGTTAAATCAGCTAGCTGCTATTAAAAAAAAGGCAATCCCTGTTTGGAATTATTAGGAAGGGAGCTGAAAATAGAACTACTGATATAATGCTAGCCTTAAAAATTATATTCAGGTTACACTTGTTTTGTATAATTTTGATTATAAGAGGTAGAATATTGTATAGTTTTGATCACTGAATCTTAAGAAAAGATGCAAAAAGGAGCAACCAAAATAATTAGTTAGTGCAGCACAGTGCAAGGAAAAATTATAGCAACTGGGCCATTCAGCTTGGAATCTAAAGATTAAGGGGAGACATGATAAAAATTGCATAAAATCACCATGGCATAGTTAACATGAAGAGAAGGAACAGATTCAGAAGCCCGGAGTATCTACTGCAGGAGTGTTAAACTGCCGGCCCATGGGCCGGTTTCATCATACCGGAGCCGCGTCCACCCCATTGCCGGCAATGGCAAAATAGTCCTGATACGGCGAGTTTGACATGTCTGATCTACTGAAACTAAATACAGGGAGATTGGACTAACAGAAGGAGTTTGCTGACACCTGTTTTTAAAATCAGCTCATTTGGATGGTTTCAAAAGGAGCCTAGATAGTTTTATGGAGAAACAGACTGTCAGTAGCTACCAATATTGATGAATGTTTATTACTCTTGAATCAAGGTTAGCATGTCTTATATATGGCTACTGAGAGGTGAGACAGGAAGAGGTCTTGGTGCATATAGTCCGGGATTGTGAGCCTCCCAAATGCATTTTGTTGGCTTCTGTGATACAGAATGCTTGAGTGGATCAACATATGAACTGATCTGTTGGGTCTCTTTTTATGTTCTATTCAGAAGTATTAAAGCATTTAATACAATAAGGAGCACACAGTACACATTTTTTAAAGAAGTGATCATTTCTGTGGAAAATATTTTTTTTTTAAAAAATCAAAATACAAAAAATAGTGCTTAAAAGTTCCAGCACAAGACTATAGTAGCAGATATATAATCAGTCTGGATACTTTAAAAAATCCCTTCTTAAATTGTCTTCATTGTTATTTGAAAGTGGGCAGAGAAGACATTTTGGTAATCCTAAACTTCACAATGAGAAGATCCTGCATCTGAAAAGTTGCCTACTTCAACTATTAGCAAGACCAGGAAAGCATGTTTACACTGGAACAAAACATGCTCTGGTTCTTCTCTGGGGTATGGGGGGAAATGCTATTCTTCAAGTTCAAAATCAGTTGAATCTGAGTAATTGGTGAAGCCAATAAAGAGAAGTCAGGAAAGGAAAGTGTGGTTGATAAATGTTAAAATTGGCTGATTTATCCAGGAAAATGAGAAGGATTGTGTTCCCTTCGTTAAAAATCAGTATAATTTGTTGCTTGTTATATGTAATTCAGCATTCAAAGAATATATAATACCAATAATCTTTTATTTAATTTCAGAATACCTCAGTATTAGAAAATCATCACTGGCGATCTGCAGTGGGGTTATTGAGAGAGTCTGGATTATTTGCACATATATCACTAGAAAGCAGGTATGTATCAGATTTGCAAAAACCCATAATTTTTACAGAATGGAATATACATTGCAGAATGAATGGTTTAAAATGAATAAACTAATAGTAAACGGTAGTTGTATTTTTCTAAAATGCATTATAATTCTGAATACAATTTTACATTCCCATAAAGCTAAATGCAGGTGGTTTTCATGATGACCACTCATTCAGAGACTGTTCAAATTTGCACTGAACTAATGGTGCTTATGACTGATTTCTTAAAAGTTCCAGCTGTCACAGCATCCCCGTAGTCTCATGATTGTAATCCAGCTGTTCAGCAACTTGCAAGTACAGTGTTGCAGTGTCCCATAATCCTGTGCGCTTTGCACAAGCAGAGACAATGGAGAAATTGGTATGAGGTCACAAATGCTTAACAATCACGTGGGATTTGCTTGACAGTGGCAACTGAAAGTGTTGGAACTGCTGTTGCTAAATGGTGTGATCCTGTGATGTCACACTTGCAAGGGCAGTTCCAGTACCAATTGGTACTGGAATTACTTACTTACAATTTGTAAGAAAAGTGGAAGAATAATAATTCTTGATTCATGATGCTTTCATCTATACTACCATCATTTTTAATGATATAGAAAGTTATAGTCCAAATATCTTAGATAATTTGGATTAACTTTCCAAGCAGCGTAGCTAATCCCAAACATCTGAAAGGCACCTATAGATAGACAGAACCAATAACATATAATCAGTAAAATGAACAACACAAAACTATTTCTCAATAAAAAGAATTATTAACAACCAAATGTTACATATAATATAGCAAAATCTTGCTACTTTGGAGAAATAAATTTATCTTGATTACCATATTTTCCGGCGTATAAGACGACTTTCTAAACCATAAAAATCTTCTCAAAAGTTGTGGGTCGTCTTATACGCCCAGTCGTCTTATACGCCGGAAAATATGGGTACATCAAAGCAAGCTCCCCGTATCCTGCGCCCCATGCTCCTCACCCCTTGGCGCAGGGATTGGCTGTCCGGATGAGAACTTAAGTGACCCACGCAGCCAAATAGCCCTAGAAAAGTGTCCCTCCGAGAAACAACCGGGAGGAAGGGGTGAGGTTGGAGCGTTGGCGGACCAATGGTGGGAGAGGAGCGCTGGCGGAGAGCCAGCAGAGTAAGAATGCCCGTGTTGGGTCAGCGGCGAGGGCTTCCCGAGAAGAAGTGGCCCCGCCCCCTTGCTGCCGAAGTGCTGCTCAGCACTCGCAGAAAGCCAGCAATTTCGCAGAAGCGTCCCCCTCTCAGGCAGGGATCCTGCCCCTCCCAGTCTAGGGCGGTGGAGGGAGGTGGTGCGAGCAGGGCTTTTCCTCCCCCGGGGAAACCCCCCCGCCACCAGCCTCTGCTCGGGTGGGTGGCAGGAGCAGCTGGTGGGAGCCGGCAGGCTGCGCAGAGGGTGCCACTTCCTTGGGGTTGACCGCACCAGGTGCCATTGCGCTGAGCGCCAGAAGCCCTGGGACCCCGACAGACAGACGCTCAGTGTTTCTTCCTCCTGCTCGGCCGCTTCTTTGGCAACCTGCCGCCGTGGCTGGTGCTATCGCTGCGCAGATGACAGAGCGATCTACCTGTGGGGTGTCGTCCCGGAAGCGGTCTGGCAGGCTTCCACTGGAACGAGAGGGGCCAGCTAGTCCCATTGGGGTGAAAGTTAAAGTACCTGTATTTTCCAGCGTATAAGACGACTTTCATGAAAATCTTCTCAAAAGTTGGGGGTCGTCTTATACGCCGGAAAATACGGTATTTAACAAAAAGTACAGATAAAACTGTAAGAGTGCCCTGGAAATTTAAATAAAAGAGGGGTAATCAATTGGTGGCAAATGTTCTTATAGAACTTGTAGTGTAGAAGAACTTGGGCTGTGGTTTCTGTGGCGCCCATATCACAATGGCAGTATCCGGTTTCATATGGGTTTTCCTATATTTTCTTAAAGGACAATGGGAGAGAGGGGGAACAGGGCTGAAATGAACCTAAACATCTGAGTTACATCTTTGAATTACTAAATTTAAACTTCATGTTTTCCAAACATTGTAAATTTATGATCAGTATTGAGCTAAATATTTGTAATAATTCATTTTTGCATTTACTTACTAATTATTGCTTTGGGTTTCTTCCTCTTATCTCCAATTTCAGGCAGCTGATGGAAAGCCAAATAGGAGCATTGATTCTCGCCACTGATATTAGCCGTCAGAATGAATATCTGTCCCTGTTTCGTACCCATTTGGACAAAGAAGACTTATGCTTATTAGAGGAAGATCATCGGCATCTTGTCCTCCAGGTAATTTACATGAATCTTAGGTGGAAAAGAAATTACGGTAAACAGTATCCTTCTAATATATGGTTTGAAAAAGTCCTGGTTCTTACTTAATAGTTTTTATAAAAATACAGTTTGCTGGGACTGAAAATTAAGGCCTCCTATTTGTTTCCTATTACAAGTGTAATACAACAGTATATTTTCCTATTCTGGCAGGACCATTTGATAGAAACTGATATGTCCTCAGTTTCTTGAATGTTCTGAAATTATTAGGCAAACATTAGCAAGATTTTATATTTTTCAAAACGTTGCAATAGAATTTTAAAGTCTACCTTTAACCTTTTTTTAAATAAAATCTTATAGGAACAAACAAATGCCTTTTCTGTTTTAATAATTTAGCTTGGATTCAGTAGGGAAACAATCACATAGAAATTGAGATCTCGCCACAGTTCCTTTCTGAATTTAATGTATATTGCTACGGAAGTTGATTTGACTTGAAGTATGTATTTTGAACTTGTAAAGGCAAAATAGTGTAGTTACAGTAATGGCCAAAATTGTAACCTTTTGGGAAAAGTATATTTTTGAGGTTTGATGGCTAATAACACCACTTTTTTTTGGAGTAGTACCATAAAATTATATATAAATGGAAAGATAATTTAATGAAGAATGTAATGCAACAAAGTTTGTTCAATTATCTCTACTGTATTCTATGAAAAGTTATAGCCAAATAACCAGAAAAAGGAAGCACAACTTGCTTAGGTTGATATCAGGTAGCTTTCCTTCATCTGATTGTAGCCAATGAGCATGAGTATTTAGAGAGCCACTCAGGTGTCATCTTGTTTTGGCAATGAGCCAATCAGATCACAGTAGGATTCAGTTATTGATGTCATGTATTGAAGCTGAGAGGAGGACATTTGTCAGTGTGTTATGTGATCGCTATCAAGTTGGTTGGGTTTTTTTGTGTTCTTTCATTTAGTGAGCTTGTAAAATGTAATAAAATTAAAGTAATGGTGCAAAGAGTTGACTGGTTGCCCAGAAAATGATGTAAAATAGTATTATTAAGTGAACAAGGCTACAGTTATAAAGAAATTAGAAGAAAAATTGGTGGAAACTTAACCAAAAGTGGCATTTCTACTGTACACTTTTCCCAAAATGTTTCCACAATTTTGGCCACTACTGTATAAGTTAATAGGAAAGATGGCTGCCACTTTTTTCTTTCAAATAATGTAATTATTACATGAAGGCAACATCTGACATTTCAGGTAAGAAAATGATTGCTTTCAGAAACTAAGCCTTAAGACAGGATACAACATGTAAAATATTTTAGAGATTGCCATGTTTTATCAAAATAATAAACTAATTTATTATTAGAAGTATTGATGTTTAATTGAACTATACTAGTGAATAATAATCATTCTTATTTATACTAACACTTTCTTTTTCTACCTGCTTTCCTTCTAGCCTTATGACTGAAATGTCTTCTCATAATAATTCCATGTGTTAATTCTCTTATTTCCTTTAGTTTCTTAATTTACAATCTTTGGTTCATTTCATCCCATCCTCTCTCAGAAAGTATGTGCCATTAAAATAATGGACATTGTGTTCCGTTTTAATTACAGCAGGTCCCTGTTGTACTGTTTCTTATGTCCATTTTTATTGCAAATAGAATTCCATAGAATTCTATGGAAAGATAGCATTATACCAATTCTCTGCAAAGTGTAATATACATATAAAGTCCCTGATACTTAATTAGTAATAATTAAAAACATACACAATTGTTTAAAACTTGCTGTTAGACTACTTAAGTTACAAAATTGTAGTATTATGGATATTTAATAACTTTTCAGTGTTAGTTTAATGTTACACTAATTTCTGTCTTCCATCTTGAATGGATTTCCTTCTTATTTACACATTGGCCATACTCCAATGTAGTTAAATTCAAACGGTTAAATTTAGTGGCACACCTCATTTAACTGCATGTGGCCTATAGCTCTCATTACTCATTATCATTTACTTTATCTTTTACTGTTATCTTGATTTTAGGATATTACATGGTAACTGTAATGCTAAGGCAAACTAGAACTAAATAAAGTGTTTATTTGTTTGCTAGATGGCTTTGAAATGTGCTGATATTTGTAATCCCTGTCGGACCTGGGAGCTAAGCAAACAGTGGAGTGAAAAAGTAACTGAAGAATTTTTTAATCAAGGCAAGTAGTGAGATGTGAAGCGTTATTACCATAAATTGTGAAACACTAACAGCTGTGGTGATAAGCAACTTGAGCTATTTGCAAGAGGTTCTATGACATGGGTGTCAGACTCGTGACCTACGTGACGTGTCGCGATGTATCCTGACTCTTCTTGCATTGCCGGCAACCGGGTGGGCACGGCTTCCGTATGATGAAACTGGCATGCGGGCCGGCAGTTTGACACCCTATGGAGTTCTATGGAGTTGGAATGGTTTCATTAAATTACTGTTGCTGGGATAATAAATTACTATTTTTTCTAGATCTATTTTTTATTTATTGTTTGGTTATTTCCCATCAGGTCATTTTCAATCCTAGCGCCCATACATATAAATTTTCTCCATGGTGATGTATCCCTAATTTGTTCTTTCAAGTTTCCCAATGATGCACTCATTGTCAGTGTAATTGAAAGTATCCACCTTGCTGCTAATCATCCTATTGTTTTTTTCTTTTTGTCTTTACTAGCATTAGAGTGTTTTCCAGATAGTTGAGTCATATATTGAGTCCAAAGGAGGATAATTTGACCCTGGTTATTTGTCAGAACTCTGGGTTGATTTGTTTGATGATCCATTGATTTGTTTTCATGGCTGTCTATGATACTCTCAGGAGTTTTCTTCAAAACCTAACTTCAAAGATGTCAATATCTTTTATATGATTCTGAGCTTTGTAGGTATAGAGCAGTGATGGCGAACCTTTTAGAGATGGAGTGCCCAAACTGCAACCCCAAACCCACTTATGTAGTGTCAGGTGCTGGGTGGGCGTGGCCAATGGGGTGGGCGTGGCTGCAATGGTAACGGTAGACTGGGTGGGACTAAAAAATTCAATCAATCAATTCCAACTGTGCAAGATCTCCCCCCCCCCCACAAGAAGTTGAAATTGATTGATTGATTGATTGAACCTTTTTTTTTTGCATACGGCGGCGGAAGCCTAAAGTGAAAAGCTTTTATAAAACCCAGCTGAAGGCCTAAGATGTGCCCACACAGAGGGCTCTGCGTGCCACCTGTGGCACACGTGCCATAGGTTCGCCACCATGGGTATAGAGACTTCATGGCATTTGAATTTATTTTCCAAGGCAGACGCTATCCCTACTTCAATATCTTCATTCTCAATTTTACAGCTGTTATCTAACTGTTATCATTAGTTTGGCCTTCTTTATATTTAATTTCAGTCCAATTTTTTCACTGTCCTCTTTGACCTTTAATATTAAGGCTTGTAAATCCCTTGCATTTTTGGGTATTAGAGTTAGTGTTATCAGTATAACAAGTTACATCATGACTTCTATTTCTATGCATAATCATGAAAACCAATTCAGTTTTTCTATTTTATGCAAAAAGTCTATAAGAGTTTTTCATTCAACAATAAACATTGTGTCTTTTCTCTGATAAAAGAAGTCAATTTGGCTACCTTAGCAAGTTCCATGTTCACCAATTATTCTCAGTTGTGGGCAATGCCAAATCTTTCCATCTTTGCACATGTAATAATCTCATTGCAGTTATCGTATACAAAATAGAATTTGAAGATTCTTTTGCAACTATTTGTCCATCATCCCCAAAAGAAAGACCTCTGGTCTCAATTTTATATTAATCTCTTGGAAATTTTTCTTTCTTTAGATATTCCTTTATTTTCTCCAGAGAGAAATAATTTATTTTATACAAGTTGGAATAGTATTGAAATGCTTTTTGTGTAGGCATGATATTCATTAATTCAGTATTTCTCTCTTGTAATTTCAAAACCATTTTCTTCTCTTTTTCGTTTTATAATTTATATGCCAAACATTTCCCTGGTTTGTTTGCAAACTTGGCATGTTTTCCCTTACATATTTAATTTTTATTTCAATTTCTCTTATGTTGTATAGATAATTATCATTGTAAAAGCTTAGTTTGTTGAGAAATACTTATCTTTTCTGGAAATTTCTTTAATTCTTCTGTTTATCTCATCCAAAATTGTTTGTGTGTTGACTCTTTTTTTGAGTTCACTATTATGTTCTCTAATAAAAGATTTATTTGTGTCCCAAACCATCCTTAAATTTGTACCTTTATTGAAATTATTTTAAAAAAATGGTTTTTTTTACAACTGTCCACCATTGTAGTACATTTCATTTACAGGTAGTCCTCAACTTAGGACTATTTGTTTAATGACAATTCAGATTAACAATACGCTCTGAAAAAAAACAGAAATTCCAGTCCCAGTTGTTGTCGTAAGTTGGTTACCCGTAGTCTCCATCTAAAAGATTTCCTTTTATCCTCACAGGGTTGTGATTCAAAAAATTCTTTAGTAGTGTCTCTACTTTAGAAATCCTAGTAGCCAAATTTTTTGAAATTCAAAACATGTCTAGGAACTCATTATTATTTATTATCTCAAATTTTGTGTGGTACTTTCCTTGGAAAACAGTTATTTTTCCTTTTTCAGTCTTGCTATTAAAATAACATGTATGGATAGATCATTTATAACTCCTACCCTGCTATTACATTAGACAGCATGAGGAGTTCAGGCATGTGATTGGAGAGTAGTGTTTTCTGTTTTCATGGGAAAAGTTTTTTTTTTTTAAATAAATTGTAAAAGTTTATTTTAAGGGGGCACAGCAGTATTGATCTATCCTCCTTCTCACTGAGAAATCCTACAGCTAATTTTTGGTAAGAATGGGTCTGGGGTTCTTTGGATTTTATCTGATAGGACTGAATTTATACTAATAGTTATATTAGGTGTAGTAATCTTTGGTTACAACTACTCATTCAGTGATTGTTCAAAGTTACAATGGCACTCAGTGAGGCACAAAGTTTCACAGTGGAACTTTGTTTTCGTCATTCGTTGCTTTCAGGCGTTCATTCTGCACTGTAGATCCCCAAGTGTCTACTGCAGATTTTGGAGGTTGTGGGCAAATTTCCTGACTTACTGTAGATAATAAATGATTAAAACAATATTCTGTTGTAGGAGACATTGAGAAAAAATACTGCTTAGGTGTGAGTCCACTATGTGATCGACAGACAGAAACCGTTGCCAACATCCAGATTGGTAATTACTGATTTATGTGGAAAATTGTCATAATTTTTTATTAATATATAATATGGAGGAGCTAGAAATGAACTGTCTGAATAATTTAAAATGTTTTTTGGCAGATTGCAAACAATTTTTTTTATTTTATTGCAGTGTATAAATGTTGAATTATGCTCATTGACTTTAAAAAGTTTCTGTGTTCATGAAACAGGATTTCTTTTATCTAGCACTTACAATTTGCCCGAAATACTATGAAATTGCTTTTTGAAATGAGCTTAAAATTTCAGTCTAATTTAGATTTGATACATTTTTATAGTGAAGTTTTAAATTTATAAATGAAGAAACAAGAGTTTACAAGTAACAGCTTAGCCAAATTTAAACCAATTTCTTCATTAAGATATTACATTCATGTTTCGGAAAAGAAATATATATTTTAATTTTTTAAAAAAAGAAATATTTTTGATAAAAAATTCCCTAATATAAAATACAAACAGAACTAAAGACAATGGATAAAATCGAGGTGAAGGAAATAGGGGGAAGGGGAAGGAAATGTTTTGATAGGTTTGCATGTTCCATTCTAAGCTTCATGGTTTAAATTAATCATAATAGGCGTTGGTGCTCAAATTCAACATAGTGTGATGCATACTGCAATTATATTTAGATTCCAGCTATAAACTGGAAATTCGTTTCTAGTTACACAGGAGGAGAATGGCTGTTATTTGCAATTAATATTTGTCTATCTCAATCTTAAAAACAGACTATCCACAAAGACATAAGAACTTAATAAATAACACTGAAAACTTACCTGATGCAGCATTCTGTTTCTATAGTGGTCAGCTGGATCGTTGGGGAAGCCCAATGGCAGGGCAGGAATGCCATAGCATCCTCCTGCTCGAGTACTCAAGGAGTTGCTGCTCGGGATCATAATGCCTTTGACCTTGTGCTAGATCTTTGGGAAGAGCCACATCAAGGCTCTGCTTTAGCCTAAATATTGGGTGTGCCTATTGATTTGAATGTCCGAGGGCAATTCGGAAATAAACCTCCATTTGGTTATCAGTGACAGACACTTGCAGGTACAGAACCTTTATTATACACATTAGAAAACTGCAACATTACATTACTTTTTGATATAGCCATTCAAATTGAGACACTTGTCATAACGTCTTACAAGGTTTGAAATTCCTTTGTAGTAGTCGTTCGGCACAAATCTGGCCTATGGGGGGAGGTGACCAAAAATATCCCAATGCAACTGCTTCAAAAGTTCTTGGGTGTGTCTAGCGGTGTGCTGGTGAGCATTATTGTGAACCAACATCACCCTGGAAGTCAGCATGCCCCCACGCTTGTTATGGATGGCTCATCTGAGTTTTCATAACGTTTCACAGTTGACTTCTGAATTGATGGTTAAACCATGCTCCATGAACTTCACTAGCAGTACTCCTTTGGAATCTTCACATTTGGTGCGATATTCCATGGCACCACTTCTGGTGTGGTGTTGGTTCACGATAATGCTCACCCGCACACCGCTAGATGCACCCAAGAACTTTTGAAGCAGTTCCATTGGAATGTTTTTGGTCACTCCCCTCCTCAGTAGCCCATTAGTAAGGAATTTCAAACCTTGTAAGACATTATGACAAGTGCCTCAATTTGAATGGCAATTATGTTGAAAAGTAATGTAATGTTGTAGTTTTCTAATGTGTATAATAAAAGTTCTATATCTGCAAGTTTCTGTCATTGATAACCAAATGGAGGTTTATTTCTGAATTGTCCTTGTATGTAATCTGTGGTCAGTTTGTACAATATAACATATTTTAAAGTAAAACTAAACTCATAGAAAGAATGATAAACTGTTTCTCAAGGACTGTATAGTAATGTTTACAAATGTATTTGTTCACTGTATAGATTTCCTGTGCTCATTAATATGCAGATGCTGTACAGTACATTTTAAAAAAAACCAATACTGAAATATTCCAGTATTTGAGGGGCTGCCACAAAGAAGAGGGGGTCATATTATTCACCAAAGCACCACAGGGCAGGACAAGAAACAATGGTTGGAAACTGATCAAAGAGAGAAGCAACTTGTAATTAAGGAGAAACTTCCTGACTGAGGACAATTAACCAGTGGAATAGCTTGGCTCTAGAAATTATGGCCCCTCCATCACTGGAGATTTTTAAAAAGAAGCTAGACAGTCACTTGTCTTTGAGATGGTATAGGTTCTCCTGCTTGAGCAGGGGGCTGGACTAGAAGGCCTCCAAGGTCCCTTCCAGCTCTATTTTATTCTTAAAATGTATAGAGTTGTGGGGTAGAGTTTTTTGATATTCACATTGTAACTTATTTTGTCTTTCTAGGTTTTATGACCTATTTGGTGGAACCATTATTTGCAGAATGGGCTCGTTTTTCAAACACCAAGCTGTCTCAAACTATGCTTGGTCACATGGGACTGAATAAAGCTAGCTGGAAAGGTATTCAGAGAGAACAATCTAGCAGCGGTGATGATACTGATCCTGCATGTGAGGAAACAGACTCTGATGTAGTACCTCAGGAACACCGACTATCCTGACCCCAGAATCTGCTTAACAAACTGCTCTTGCTTGGTATCTATAGACCAGCGTTTGAGGATAAATTCTGCCTGACTGCCAAGGTTTCAGTATAAACAATGCCAGCATTATTTATTTCCAGTTGTTTTCTTTGAGAAATTTGAAACTGGTTTTCAATTATAAGACCTGAATATAGAGCAATATGCATATGCCTCAGTTGGCTTCTGCATGGAACCTTGAATATGCAACCCTGAGAAGAATACAAGTCTGGACTGGGAAAGTTCAAGATTTGTTATGTGCCACATTATTTGTTTTTTTTAGAGGAGATTTGACGTAAGGCCTTCAAAACTGCCACATGACATGGATGATTCTATTTTCCTGGAATTTAGCAGGACTCCATTCGATCCTTGTCCATTATGTGGAAATGTGAAGTGCCCATACTTGGCTGCCTTGGGCAAGAACTGATGTTTACACACAGACTTGGAAACCGTAGATTCAAAAATAACCTTTCTGCATGGCTGTGAAGGAACCACTGATTTTTTTTTTAAATTATCAAATCTGAAACTGCAGCTCATTTTTCTCTTAGTAAGAGAAGTCTGCCGTGGGTTACAAATTTGGCTGTGCATTGAGAATTGAACATTTAATATAAAGCACAGCCACGTTTTACTCCAGAGTATGGGAATGCAATATAGCAAGCAGAAATACTTCTGAATTTTGGGAAGGGAGGTGGGATGGAGGAGAGGAAGAACTTCAAATTATGTTAAGATTCTATGGTGAAAACAATTGCATGTTGTTTTTGTTATTGTACACTTGAACTGCACATGCAACAAAAAAGGTGGAATGACTACCAGAAACAGCTCAGGGTATTGCCAGTCTGAAATAAAGTGGGATGGAAAGCATGTCCTTCATAACAAGGGTACAAAATGCCCCTTACGCTGCAGTGTGTGTGAGTGAGAGAGTGAGCGTGAGAGAGAGAGAGAGAGAGAGAGAGAGAGAGGATGAAGGAATGAATGAGTACCTGGTGGGATTGTGAAAAAAGGGGAAAATGAAAAGGAGTCAAAAGGCATTTTTTAATTTATTCTTTTTAGAATGTGATATTTTCATGAGCAGCCACGGGGGGTGGGTGGGAGGGGAGGGGAACTGATAGGTTGTTACAGCTGCCTTAAACTATGCACAAAGCTAAGTGACCAAATTTTGTTGATTGAAAAAGTGCATTGTTTACTTATTCCCTCCCTCTACTGAAATGTTACCCATTCTGGGTTTTTTTGATGTGAAAAGGAGAAATGTTTTTAAGGACAAATTTTAAGGACTAATTTTTAATCTTCAAGCATTCCTTTTTTTGTAAGTTTTAAGTACTGTAAGCACAACTGTAATCTATTTTGAGAAACTGGTGCTTTAATTTTGTTCATTTGTATTTTCCTTGTTTTTTACTGTAAAGACTGTTTTGTTCTGTTTACAATTTGCAACAGCCATTTTTGGGAGAGAGCTTCAGTGTAAAGCCATTTCTTAAAGGCTTTGCCATCCTCATGTTAATGTGCCTGTTGCTGTTAATCTTTGATTAATAATAAAAACTTTTCACATTATCTCGAGTCTAGTTTGAAAGGTGGAGAAATAGTTAAGATCACATTAATCAAATAATTTCTTTCTTAGTGACTTTGGATTCTATAAGAGCTTTTTATAGAAGCTACAAAATGTTTTGTAGATGTTTTCTTTGTGGTCCTTATGCAGCAAACATACAGCACTTAAATCAAAATGTTCTAAAGCCAAGGAAAATCTTTAGTGGGAAGCATGTCCTAGGGCCCAAATTCCTGGGTGTGGGTCCAGTTATCTCCTCAGTCTCTTTTCAACTACAGAAGCAGCGCCAGGAGCCTTTTGTCTGATAACCTCAGGTGCACTATAGGCGTTTCAAAGGTTCAAATATATGGGTAGATCCAGGTTCTAGGCTATTATTAGCCATGGAAGCTCACTACGTGATTTTTGGGACAATCACTCTTCATCAGCCCAAACTTCCTCAGAGGATTGTTGTTACGGGAAACTAAGAAGTCTTGTATTGCAATAAGCTATAAGCTGATACCTATTAAAAAGCTACCAGTGGTTTGTCTTGAGAGGGTTTTTTTTTCATTTTTCTTTCTCTTTTGATTTTCTAATCACAAATTAATTTCTGTATTATCTTTGTAGTTATGGACTTTGATTAGAAGGGGAGGCCAGAGTACCTATTTGGCAATTCTATGGCCTTTTCTTGGGGAACATAACATAATGCAGAGAAATAACCTTTTTTACATATATTAATGTGGAGGCAAAATCTTATCCACTGATGGGTGTTCCTTGTCTCTCATATGCCTTAGAACAGTGGTTCTCAACCTTTTTAATGCCGCGACCCCCAACCGGTCGTAAGTCGAGGACTACTCAACCGGTCGTAAGTCGAGGACTACTCAACTGGTGCAGCAGTTTCCAGTTTAAAGCAAACCTGATTCAGGACTTAACAGATACAGTTGTATCTTTAAATTGAACCAATCGTTTTAGTGCAGGGGCGTCAAACTGCCGTCCTGCTGGCTGGTTGCATTGCATTGTGCAGTGGTCACACCCTCCGCAGGTCAGCAATGCAAAAAAAATCGTGATACGTCACATGTCATGTGACACGGCGAGTTTGACACCTGTATTTTTAATGCATACATTTTGTTCATTTTATTTGATTTAGATGTTCTTAGGCCCCGTTGTGCAGTATTCTTTGTTCAAGCATCAAAAAATGACCAGACTAATGTAATATATATTATACTATTTTTTTTTATTTTGAACAGTGGTGGAACAGTTTAAAAATACTGATGTAACTATACAATAATAAACATTAAAATACCTGGGAGCAATTTAACATGATCAATTTAAAAACATTTTCATATTTGAACAAATTTCAAAGTGAAAGCTTTTAAGCATTTCATGATATTTACGTTAAATTTGCTCTTAATACTTATGCAGATAAACCACTTTTCCATGTCACACCAAATTATTCAGCAATTCGGCAAATACTACCCAAGATGACAAAATACTCTGTTCAAGAAGTAAAATGTTTTACTCAACAGGAAAGCTGGCCTTCAATTATTTTTTCCAATCTCAAATTATTTTCTGACCTATTTGACAGTTTATTGTCTGCAATTCAGTTCAACAGGAATTGGTGAGTAAGCAGGATTGAAGGTCTATGAAGGAGGCAACAATGTTAATTAGATATTAAGTTTCATTAATAACTGTTGATATGCTCATATGTGCATTGTCACTAGAATGAAGTTGCAATTATAGTGTTACATTCTATGTAAAAACATGATCAAGCTTTGGCTAGTTTCTTCCAGCATTTGCTTTAAATTAGCCAATTCTGCTAATAATAAAATACTTAAGCGTTGTCACCTTCACCCTATAGAAAGAAAAGTGACTCCAGTGAAGTCTGTACTTCAAGTTCAAAATGAGATGTCAGTACAGGCTAAATGTGTCCTACTATTATATTTCAGATATTACATCAAAGCTATAATTTAAACTATAATTGCATTCACATAAGTTTAAGAGTGACATTTATAACTTAGTGTTAGCCCAACACAGCTTGTACATAAATACTAAAACCTGTGCTAGAACATGGTAGATTTTTCGTTTTTAAACTTGTTCATGGAAGCAAGACACGCTACTCAGTAATGTAAAATTATAAATATAATTCTCAAAACAGTTAAGATGGACCTTTTATACTGAAGCATGGTTTTTCTACTTAACTATTTTCAATTAGATTCTTCATCTTTCCTGTAGGCTTCAGCAGGTGTGGCCCAAACTGAAAAGAAAAAGAATGTATAAACTAAAAAAAAAAAATCATGTATTTTCCTCCTTGCAATATGTTTGTATACAATAAGTGGGAATTTTTATTGACCAACAGTTCATGCCTACTTCTAAAACACCTTTTAGATCAGTAGCTGGGGAATTCTATGATTTTAGGTCCACGGTTCTTAAGAGTTGCCAAGTTTGAAATACATTGCTTTAGAATCTATTAGTGGGAATACTAAATCCACCAGAATGAAAGGAAGCAAATGTTCCCTGGCATGTTGCTCCTTTAACTCAAGAAAACCAATCATAAATACTGGAACTGATAATAAGCCAAGTTAAAAAAGTATGGGTGGACATTAGTTTGCCAATCTCTGGAGATTAGGCATTCTCCTGGAGATCTCTAGTCCTGAATTTATGTAAACTCCAATGTAGCTTGGCTTAGCCTAAAATGTGAACCTTGGTTGCTTGTAAACTGACTTACTCCTGATGTTAGTACAACCAGATTCTATGACTTGTTCAACACACCATGGCTCAGTACAGCGGACAAACTTGGGACCAAACACTTACCATCTTTGTTTCAGAAGCTGAATTCTGTTTATCACTTTCACTTGAACTGTCACTACGGTATCGATATGCAAATTTCTTTTTAAGAGCCTCAGCTATTATTGCAGCAGGATCTGTTGGGTCAGCAGTTTTCCTTATTGTGCTTTCCTCCGGCCTTCAAAAGAATAAGGTAAGGCTTTTATGACACGGTGACTTCAAATGTGGCAAATATATGCGCCGTTTTCACCAATGTTTTGCCTATCTTTTTTTTGCTTTGACACTTCAAGTGCCAGAAAAACAAGAAAGAAGTAATCAGAATACCTATTTATATTCAGGTCTACCAGGTAAAACAGCTGGGCATAGAAAATATATAGTAAAGTACTATCATCCTCTTTCTCTTTAGTTTTAAAAGTTGATACAGACATTCATTTAATGACTGTCTTGAAAAAATAACTTTATGACCTGTCCTTGTACTTAAATTGCTGTCCCTGCAATCCCATGAGCGAGATTAGAGTACTTTGCAACTGGCAGGCGTTTACAACCTTTGCAGCGTCCTGTGGTCATGTGAACAGCTGCCTTCTGAAGCTACTTCACTGAGAAGTCATCAGTAAAACTGCAATTTGGGCCATCTGATGTCTTTCTTAACAATTCTAGTGACTTGATTAACCAACCCAGGAAAATCAACAATATAAATTTGTCAGTCATGATATCTTGTCAACTATCACTTAGCAATGTGGTTACGGGTCCCAATTCTGTTTGTTAAGAGGGTCTATTTGTACTCATTAAAATGACAAGCTTCTGTTTGAAAACCAAATGATGAACTTGATGCACATTCACTTGTGGGAGGTTACTTAATTATCTGAATCAAGCAAATAAATGATTATCTCATCTCCATCTCTGCATAGCAATAATCAAAATATTGCACTTCTTCCCTGCAACCCTATCTCTAATAAGTAAAGGGAAAAACATACCTTTGCACTGAGCGCAGCTTTACATTGTTCATGTCTTTCAGGATATCTAGCATATTTGGCATTTCAAGCTTCTTTGGATCACTATCTATCAGAGCCTTGCCAGAATTTATTCTTTTTCCTTTGCGCTCTTTAATAAGGTCAATGGCAGAAACATTGTGCTGAAGTGATGGTGGTGGAGGCAGGGGTGGTGGTGGTGGTGGCGGCGGCGGTAGGACAGAAAGGGAGGCAGAAGAACTTATTCCAGCTGTAAGAAAAATGTACATTTAAACATGTTGCAAATATTTTTAATAATTTTTTTTAAGAAATGTATCCATTATTGTGTTTACCAAATAGAATCAGCATTAAACTGGATTGTTATCATGTACCACTATTATATTCCCTCTCTGTTCTTGACAATTTCCATTCTAACACAAAATATAATGAAAAGGGTGAAGCTTTTTTTAAGGGAATACATAGCTTGGCTGTAAATACTGACCCCAGTATTGAAGCAGCTTTCTAGTGTGTGACATTTATTACATTTCTATAAAATGTAACAAAAAAAAATGACTCTCGTTTACAGATAAACATAGTTTACTGTGTTTTCTATCCCTGTTTGCTGCCTAGGTTATAGGGGCTAAGATTGGTAGCTGTATGAATGTTAACTAAATATAAAAACAACATTAAAAACACAAACATCATAAAGCAATAAAGAAAATGATAACTATTCAGGAACAGTTCTATTTTTAAAAGTTACTAAAGGCCAATGAGGGTGCCAGCCTAATTTCAAAAGCGAAAACCGAAAACCAATGCCCCTAAGTTCTGGTCCCTTTTACTTCCTACGCATGGTAGACCATTAAAATATACTGGGAGAATTTCATCATGAACAGGTTGATCAAATCACTTCTTTATTGGAAAAGGTGGTTCTTTAAGAATCTTGCTGCCAAAGCATATGTAGTTTTATAGGTTAAAAAAACCCCAGCACTTTAAACTTACTCCTATCCAATCGGCAATTATAGAAGGAAACAGTGTTTGTATACTATTTCTCATGAAAATACATTACATTGTTGGGTAAAAGGAAAATTGGAAATGCGGGCAAAAAACTAATCATCATATGTGTGTCAACTGAACCTTTCATAAAATTGTTTTTAGATACTATATAAGAACAATCACAAGTAAGTCTCATTTTAAGAACTTCCAGTCAAAATCTTTACTATTGCCAAAAGTTTGTAATACAAATCCCAAGATCATCTTGACTCAGATTTCTACAAGAGTTCAATGTAACTTTGCCCAACCTATTACTACTATTACTACTATTACTCTATCTAGTGCACCAGATTACACTTTTCATCACAGTAAAGTATGCTGGCTTAGAATCATGGGTGCTATCATCTACCACAAAGGGAAAACAATAGGTTGTGGAAAGCAGGTTCAAGATCATATGTGCAGATGAGTAATAATACAGAAATATTCCATTCCAGATCTTTCATGTCAAGATAAAGACTATAGCAACTAATTTTCTAAATGTCATAATTTATACACCAAGAATATTTGCACCTGAATTTATAGTATTTTTTTGTCTACAGGCATAACACTTAAAACTTACTGAGAAAATGACAACAATACCTGCTGCTAAATTTTGTTCTTGTAGGCTTACAATTTTGGCTATTTGTGCTCTTAAATTAGCAAGCTCATTTTCTAATGCATTTATTTTCTGCAATGCTTCATTGTTTGTAGCTACTGCAGTTTTGGAGTTTTCCATTTCTTGTGATTTCCTGGGCAACAATTCTTCAGTACTTGAGTCTCTTCCTGAGCAGCCTTCATCTTTAAGGAATGGTTGGGATTTTGACCAGCCTTCTGATCTATAATCAAAAAAAATAGTTTGTTTTTTTCACCATGTAGCATAAACCTTTGATTGAAGGTAGCTAAGTTAAAGTTCTGTCTCTTAAATCAAATATCTTATTCTCTCCAAATGTAGAATGCTGTCTTTGCCATGTTTGTATTTAAGCTAAAACAATGTTTAGAAGTTCCTCTAAACATTAAACTATATTCTGTTCTGTTGTAAAGGTGAAGGTAAAGCGTTCATTTATGTTCCTTGGCCTTCAGCACAGATAAGTTAGAAATCTGATAACATTTAGAAAAATATCAATTGTATTTTAATAATAAAATGCTTTCAAGAAGAGATGGTTTAGATATTAAACACAACCACTGTTTTTCAATTACTATGTCTGCAAACAGTGCAGAAAAATTCATCTATACCAGTGGTGGCGACCCTGTGGCACTGGTGCCAAAGGTGGCACTCGGAGCCCTCTGTGGGCACATGTGCTGTTGCCCCAGCCTTGCCTCCCCCCGCAACCCCCTCACCAGCCCCCCTGGAGGAGAGTTGCCAAGTGTGGCCCACACGGAGCAGTGCAGGACATAGCAGCCAGGCAGCGTAGACAAGACTCTGCCCTCATGCTCCATCGCGCACAGTTGATGCTGCAGGGCGCGGAGAGAGGGCGTGGCCACCATGGCGCTGCTGGGCTGCCTGGGCAATCTGTGGCAGGCCCTGGAGGCAGTGAGTGGCCCTGCGGGCAGGCGGGGTGGGGGCAGGGCAGGGGGTGGAGCAGGGTCGAGGCCAGTTTTTGGGCACTCGGTCTCTAAAAGGTTCGCCATTACTGATCTACACAGATATCATTAGTCTAATAACATTTTAACAGCTTTTAACAGTCAAGGACTACCTCTAATCTATTTCTTTTTCTTTTCTTAGAGTTGCACTTGTGTTCTCATAACTCATTCTGACTAAAATAATATTGAACATCTATTTGTGTCTACTACCCAGATATTTTGGTACTGAAATAGGAACATACTACAAAAATATATGCTTATATAAGCATAAAGTTATTGTATAAACACAAAGGCTAGATAATAAAACTTATTTATTATGTTTTTAAAAGAATTAAAGATTAAGATTTTCTTCCTTAATCAATAATATTGGCCAGTTTTCATGTTATCAGAAAACTTGATTTTCAAACTGTAACTCTCATAGAAATTAGTTAATGGCCTTGGTCAACAGGTTATCTACCAAAGCTTAAAGAACCAATAATAGAGGATAAGCTTTGAGAAACATACCGGAACCGTGTAAAAACTTTGTCTCTTTCATCATCTTCTTCAGCAACCCACCCTACATCTACAAGGGAGACTATTGCATCTTCTTTTAGTTGGTTAGATTGAGTGTTTTCTGCAGGCTGAGATGTAAGCTAGATTGATTGGATAATGTTACATATTAGAGCAGTTGCCTGGGCCTGGATCAGTATAACATCACTATAAAGGTAACATGAAGTTAAAATACATAGTGAGAATATGAATAAGATAAATTTATTTATTTATTTATTTATTTATTTATTTATGAGACTTATATACCGCTTTAAGTGCAAGCACTCTCTAAGCGGTGTACACCAGTAAGCAATGCATATATATATTTACATTGCCCCCAACAATCTGGGTCCTCATTTTACCTACCCCGGAAGGATGGAAGGCTGAGTCAACCTTGAGCCGGTGAGATTTGAACCGCTGACCTCCTGAACACAGTCAGCTAGGCAGAACAAGTTAATACAAGAGTTAAAACACTAGTGGTTTTTTTCCATTTGGGCAAGGTTTCAAATTTAGTAGTATGATCCAATCTAAGAAATCTAAGGAATGTCCCACAGCATTATTCCCATTGTTGTTTCCTAATGATATGACATACAAATTGGGTATTACATAGCAAATATCTAGCTGCAGGTTAGGAAATTTACATATACTAATAAAGTTACATAGGTGAATAATCTGATTAATTTCAAGCTATTTCTCATTACATAATATTTGGATGAGAAATGGAAAGCAAAAATTCATTTCAGAGAAAGAAAATCCAAATCCTTATTAATGTGTTAGTAGACGTTAGTTTAATGTATCTGTTTCCAGATTTGCCAGCCCACGTAAGGAGGCATCAAAAGTACTTAAAGGGTAAGAACTACTTTCTAGAAATGGCTGAAGTTAAAATTCTCAATACTGTAAGGTTATCTTTATTGAAAATCAAGCCTATGTTTGTTATTCTACAATGTTCAATGAGAATGTTATCACTGTGACTACTCTGGCTAATGTTGGATCATTGTGACATAATTTCCAAAAAGGAAGAAAAGCATACAACCATGTCTTTTAATAGTTTAACACTTTATTCAGAGATTATTTCATGGTCGTGTGAAACTAGAACTTTTATATATGCAAGTATTTTAAGTGGGTTAGAATTTCTTGCTTGTTTATTATTTTAGACTTCACATGCTTTTTTGGGAGATGTGCCATAGGACAAACTCAAATTTGCCTTTTGTCAGACCTTAAACTAAATAGGCAACTAAACCAAAGCTTTGTGAAAAGATTAAACCTGAGGCACCAAAGTAAGTATCTCAATTTCCCATCCACATTTAAAATATCTGACTAACTATACTAATTAAGTCACATATGCCCTATTAAAGTAGTAATCCTAAGTATGTTTGTCTTGAAGAAAAGTTTAATTTTTCAGCAATATTTTGCTGTTAGGCTTCCAGAAACAACAAAACAACTGTCACTGCCATTAAAGATATTTAGCTCATTCTCTATGCACAAGAAAATAAGGAATACAGAAATTAAGATCTTAACAATCAGATTTACATGTAAGTAAATACCAACAGTTAAAGTGAACTTTAGTGAAAAAAGAAAAGACTGACTTACAGTAGGCTCAGTGCACGATCCTGCGATATAATAGCTAGAGAGCAAGAAAGGAAGACAGAGGAAAGAGAGAATGCTATAGAAAAGTTTCAAGAAAGCAGGAAGACAGCTGTGATATTATTAGGTTTATTTTTTTAAAAAAACAGCAGAGTTTATTCTGCCACCATTCAGAAAACTATAGTACTTTTCAGCAAGGGTCAGGGACAGAGAACTTTTTTAGTCTAATAACTATTTTAAACATCAAGCATGTGACAACTCAAGAACACACTTATATTTTCCTATTCTCTTGGGCTTGGTTTTAAACTGAATTTATGCCCACTAAACTCTCTTTCCTATCCCTGCATTAGAGCTTTGTAAACAACTGAATCTGCCTTTTGCTGCTGCCGCTGTGTACATTATATTGAGCCTTCAGATAGTTAAAGCATGTAAAATAACAGAGTGAGGTCTCTTAACATTGGCATTTCTCTTTGGTGAATGTTCCAGAGAAAAGTATTGATTAAGATAGAAGACATTATTTCTTATTCTTTTATTCCATAAGCAATATTTTTGAATCAATTTCTGCCCAGGATTTATCAAAAATATTCGGAAGTCACTGACAGCTTACACCAGTAATATCGTAAAATAAATGTATCTACAGATAAATAATAAGGGAAGAAATATTTTTTATTCTAGAAAAAAAGGACATGATGATATTCACATATGATACAAAATGTTTCTAAGCTGCTGAATTTGTTATGTGTAAATATGATTTTATCCTTGAATGCCTTTTCCACTCAAGAACTGTTAAAAGTCACAAGTTCTATAAAATTCAATGTTATTGACATTTGAGTGCAATAGAAATAAATAAATCATGACCAATTTTCCTAAAAATATGTTCTCCCTTCAACTTTCAAATATATCCGTTAGTTTTACTATAAATCACAACTACTGAAAAGTCTTTCAGAACTCATTACTTAGTACTGAAAAGGAAGTTCTATTTAAAATATATGGCATTGTCATCAGAAAATCTAAAATTAAAAATATGTTGAATTTGACCTTTGTCTGATCAATGATATTCAGTTTGCTATTTTCAATATAATTACAAAATTCTTTTACAAAATTCTTATTTTGAAGGGACTATTTTTTTAAATCAGAAAATACTACCATTTTTTCACCTACTTTTAAATATGTTGACATTGAGTTTCATTAGATATTTGAATTATTTTCTACTCTCACAAATGAAGACTTCAGGATCAATACATCCAATTTATAAACCCATATCATTTTCATTTAATTAATTTTTAACCTTTAAAATTAATGTAACTACTTTTTTGCTTAAGGAAATAATTTAATTTGGGGATATCCCTATTTTTGTTTCCAAACTGACAGAAAGTAATTTATATCCCCAGATACCACAGACCCAGATGTTTAGGTCTTAGCAGTTTTGCAAATCAAAGCAAATTAGTAAACATCTTACCTGAAATTGAACCCTTGGGCATTGTATCAGAGAAAGGTTGGAGCCAATTTTTCTTACAATACTTCTGCTTGGACCATAAGATTTATTTGACCAAAGCAGCTGAAAGTAAAAAAAAAAAAAAAAAAAAAAAAAAAAAAAAAAAAAAAAAAAAAAAAGCCTGTGTCAATGTTGCTTTACTTTGAAGTTTTACTTATAATTAAATAAATCCAGGAAAACTATTTTTGTATAAACAAGTATAAAATTGCATTGTAAACCTGTATATTCAGAAAACAGATTTACAACTTAAGATTTATTTTATTGTACAGTGCCCAGAGTCATGCAAGTGCATGGGCAGCAATATAAATTGGATAAAATGGCACAATACTCAGTCCAACAAAATTTGAATGGGCTCACAATATCTCTCTTAACCAACATTATTTTTATTATGTTTTATAATGTAATGAACTACTGAAATGAGCTATTCCAAAGAACTTTATGTATATTTATATTTCACAAATTCAGTTATATTTAAATATTACACTGTATGTTTATGTCCTTTTTATGTAATTGGCATTTATGCATGTCATTCCCTATACATTATTCAGACTTTCAGTTTTTGCAGATATGTCACTGTAATGATATACTTACTGATTCCATAGCTAACCCAGCTTGCATAAATATCACTCTAAATAGATGCTTAATCCAGCAGATCATCTAGAATAAGATAAAGCCTTCAGTAATGTGTAAGTTGACAACCTCAGCTTGCTAGAAGGTAGAAGCTCCATAGTCATCCTGGAGAGAAAAAAAATATTTAAGCAGAATATGCAACTGCTTCAATGTGAGAATTCATCTCAAAATAAATATAACAACAGCTAGAGCTCTAGGATTTTTCACCAAAAGTATGTAAGTGGTAATTTTAATTATATACCACCTTTAATTAAATACTACAAAGTTGTATTCTAATATTCAAAGGATGAAAAAAGGTTAGAAGGAAAACAACAAAAACAGAAGCAAGAACCAATTGTATAAAAAAGCATACATTTAAAGTTATACAGGGTATACCCATAGACCAATCACAATATATTTTATTATTTTTTTCAGATAAAATGTTATCGTATTTACCATAGGAATGTTCAAAGATCACATTTCAAATGAGTATGAAAATGGTAACCAATTCAATTATTTAATGTAATTTATATAATAAATTGTCTGTAGGGCCTGAGTTTTGGTACCAGCAACTGAAGCAATTATAAAGACCAACAATAAATGCCATATGATGCCTGAGAATGATTTTAACAAATATAATTTTGAAAGCATACTGCATTAAAACATTTAGTATACTTTGGGCAAATTATAATATAAAAACGTCTGTATGGTCAGTGTGGCAGTACCTAGCACCATGAAATATCTATCTATCCCAGGTCCTTGGAAACGATTCAATAGGTGGATAAAAATACCAAATCCAGACTAAACATCTGCCAGACTGTGCAACCAATAATATATATAGTTTTGAATAAGAAAAATTTAGTCAAGTGACCATAGTTATGATTATTTTGTAAAGTAATCAAATTTCTGAGCTTTGTAAAAGAAAAATGCAATTGAAGAAAAGGAAATGAAATTCAAGCAAAACTGCAAAACTGCTACCACAAAATATTGCATTCTTATTATAAAGTTGTTTTAATTGATGGTTAGTTTCTTTTAGCAGAGGAAAATAGATTCATTTGGAAAGGCATTTTCTAGTTTTAGGCTTTATTATTTATAGCAGGTTTTAAAAGCTAACTTGTGGCTGTTCAGTTGTCAGTTTCTCACCTGGGAATAGCAGTTCACTTCATGACATATATTTCACAGTTGACATTTTAACAATATTCCTTTAACCTGAAATAAAAATATAGTATTTGTTCTTAAAAATGAGTATTGACATTAGCTAGATTTATCTTTGCTCCTGGAGCTCAAAGCACTTTACATAGCACTTTCTCTTCTAACTTCTTTCTCATAACAGAAAGTCTGTAATGGAGAATGACTAATCCCTAATCATAATCCAATAAGCATCCATAGCTGAGGACTTTCTATAATACTTCAACATGTTAACTTTAATACTCATGTTGGCTCGTCTAAAAGCTAATAATTAGAAGCTCCTAGCTGATCCAGACAAAAAAGAACAGGTTATCCCATTCCCAAAATTAAATGTAGCAACATAGTAAATTTTGTAGTTGTGGTTGTAAGTTGAGGACTACCTTGTACACATTTGCAATTCGCCATTAATATGAGTATTTATAGCACAATCTGTCACAAAACACCCCATTTGCCCACATAATCTCTTAGAGCTTCTTTTAGATTTATACATTCTAACATTAAAACAAAAACTTACATTGCTTTTGCTAAAATGTATTATTTTGTATAATTATTTTGTAACAAATTGAACCAAGCTATTTGTTGTTACAACAAATTGTAGCAAATTGAACTACTCCTACATAGAGAATAAAATAAACAAATGTGATTTGTTCAGTAATGTTTAACACTGACAAGATCAAGGGCAATCAGTGTAGCTATTCTGCTTTGGCTGCTACATTATTTTTTTATTTCTAATTTTTACTCTGCATGTGTGAGTTTGTTTGTGTGTGTTCTGGGACTCTAGATATAAAATCAAATTAAACCAGACAATCAAATAGAGTTTTTTTGTGCTAAGGACATAACATTTAGAGTAGATATTATTTGGTTTTTTGATAGGAGATCCAGATGTGTGAAAGCCTGTTTACACGTATAGGATCAAATGAATTAGTAAAATGTTGACCTATCAAATTCATTAATAATAAATTAATAATGCATCCTAAATTTTAAGACATTTTTCCATTTAGCTCCTATATTTAGAGTTCAATATTTTGAACTTTAAGGAGGCTATTAGAATGCTTTTTTTCATAGGACCTTTATGAAGTCAGAAAAATATTCTCTGTCAATTTATACTAAAGTTGTACTGACTGGTGACTGTGTGTCAACTACTTGATGTCAACTCTAAACAAATAATATTTTCTTCACAATGGCCTTTCTCTAACCTAGTTTTTCAAGTTTTCCAATGGTGTACTCATCACTAATGTAATTGCATCCATTAGGAATTGTTTATATTTACTATGTTCTATTGTAAAATGAATTTATTTTGGTTTATATTGTATATAATTTTTATTAACTTATACCAAGCTTAGTTATACATACTTAATGAACCTATTATTAGCACAAGGTACTTTACAAATTGCTAACAAAATGTCTAATATAGCCTTCACACCTTTTTGTCATCTCTATATACTATGAGTGCATGATCATTCCTTGCTAACTTTCTATTTGTCTTTGAAGTTAATTAATTGTGGCAGAATCAAATAAATGAGTGAGCCAGAGCTTATAATAATTAACTATACAAAATTACTGGTTTTGCACACATGGTTGCTACATGTTGCAACTCTATAATTTTAATTTATGGGAGAACATATTTGTTCCCACAACAAATACAATTATATCTATGAAGAGCAAGTATCAGTACTGTAACATAAAAAGCTGTATTCTGCCAAGTCAGATTATTTTCTGTCTAGCTCAGTTCAGCTGTAAATTCAGATTCAGAATAGTTTTGTGTGATCTCAGTTATTTCATATCATTTCCTATTGAATCCATTAACTGCAAAAACCAAATATTGTGATTACAGAGATTGCAGGAAGTCCTTGTTTAGTGACTGCCTTATTTACTAAGTATTCATAGTTACCATGGTGAAAAAGTAACTCTGTGACCAATCATATTTATAACATTTCAGGTCTGTAAAGCAAAGGAAAGCTGAAGTAAGATCATAAGCAGAGTCAGTTTTACTTAGCGACTTCACTTAACGACTAAATTGGCGGTCCCAATTGTCACTAAATGAGATTTACATATCATGATTCTATTTCTCACAATATTGTTGGATGCAACAACACAATTTTGCAAACATATTTTAATGTTATTTTCAAAATATACTTCAATATATTAACCACAATGTTCTGAAGCATTTTGACTATGGATGTCAGATCATAAACACATTTTCTAACAATAAAAGTAATATAACAGACATAGCTAATGTCAGAGATGAGAAAATTTTTAGTTTTTGTGGGAGAAAAGGAAGCAAAGACTGCAGTGGGTGATGAGTTAAAGTAGTGGGTAAGTGATATGTTAACTACATAGGAAGGATTTTTAGATCTTTTTGAAGGAGAGAATCTCTTTGACTCTTCAGGAATCCTATTATAGATCACAGATGTTGTGTACCCCACTTTGAATTTTCGATTAAGTGTTAGAGGCAAAGTCTAGATGGGCTTACTATTTATTTTGAACCAGATAGATCTTAAGCCTATCGCTCACAAGACAGCACCGTCTTTTCTACATTACTCGATTATTATTTTTTGGGTGTCCAAAGTAACAAACAAGGAAGAGGAGGAAAATCCGGCACTATTAGAAGCAACAGACGTAGCCAGGCAAATTCTGTTTAGATGCAGGAGTAACTTTAAGAGTAACTGCCTTTTCCGGAGCACCCGAAAAGAGAAGGGAGAAGACAATCAAAAGAATGAATGTTAACCAGATGAAATTTCTAAGATTAGCCACGGGGCCTCGGAGGAAAAAAAAAACCTTTACGACTCGAGGATCTTAGAAAGGGCGCATAAGCAGTAATTTGAGAACCATCAGGTTTAGGCCTATGTCAAAAATCAGATCCTCCCGGAGACATAACGACACATAAGGTCCTCCTGCGCGCATTCTTCCGCCCCTGCCGAACACGCTCCCACCCGGGTCTGCCCCTTGACGGGCGGGGAAGAGGGGGGCGCGCAGGGCAAGAACCAGGAATTGCCGCCTACACTGCGGAAGAGCCAAAGCAGTTGTGGCTGGGAAGGCACGACTCTTTTCCAGCCCCACGACTGGGGAAAACAAAAAGCGGCGCCCGGCAATCTCGAACGAGACCGTCGGCGGTTAACAGCTCGTGTCCTTGACTCACGACCGGCAGATTCTCTCTCGGCCCCGACCTGACCGGACGCCGTTCGTCCCACACCCGAAACTTCGCGACAGGGTTGATCTGTGACAACAAATCGAGGCCGATGGAAGGAACTCACCTGCTTGTCTGACCGGTACAGTATTATTTCCTCGCTCGGACTCTCCCGGAGCCGCGGAGTCCCCACCGGCCAGCAATCCCTCGACTCTCTTCGTCCGTCTCCTGCAGCAACCAATCCTGCGGAGCGCCGGCAGTAGGCCTGGCCAATCGCTGTCCGCCGGTTAGGGAGGCGAGGCTTAGTCTTGCAACCCGGCCAGATGACGGGATGTATCATCGACGATATCATCATCGAGACAGGATAAAAGCCCGTGGACTCTATGATCTCTGGAGTGACATCCGCTCTAAAGGCTTCCTTTCTCATCTCGATGGTTTCAGAAAGTTCAAACCCCGCCTAATGTTTTGGATAAGTATTTGCGACAAAAGCTTGGAAAGTTCTGCTCTTTAGTATCAAAGGATAGCAGCGCCATCTCGTGCTGTCTTGCTGTAACAAATACCTAAGTTTGCGTAAAGGGGGTACTTTGCTTTGTCCTGTAGTGCGATATATTTTGGCACTAGTTCTTAATTGATTGACATGCCATCACATTATTATCAACTCTTAGCAGCCACAAGTTTTCTCCATGATGATCTGTCCCTAAGTTGGTCCTTTGGGTCTTCCAACGGTACCTCATCGCCACTCTAACAGAGTCCATCTATCTTACTGCTGTCCTCTCAAATATTAGTGGAGAACCCTTTAAAAAAAGAGCACACATTCAACATATTTAAATCCAAATACCTTTATTTTGCAAGTCTAGTTGTTTGTTGTACTACACAAAACAGAATAAAACCAACTTATCGAAACTTAAAAGTCTTAGTATTATCCAGGATTGCAAAATTACAGCCCTCCAAATTCATTACTGTAATTCCTGACTATTAGGTTCATTGAGTCTGATGAAAACTGTACTTCAACCTGTAGCAAACCAAAAGATAACTATTAGAACATTGAACTACAGATGTGATAAACACCCTCAACTCCAAACAGCATACCAACAAGTTAAGGATAAAATAAAAAATACTGCAAAGAATACTGTAGTTGTTTATATACAGCTTAAAATACTGATTTTCAAAAAGGACTGTTCCCAGTTAGATGTGTGCGGGACTGAAGCTTTAACCACATCCATGCCTTTCCTGAAGACCAAATGAATTTGTCTACTTTACAGGTATAGTTACACCTACACACTTATATATTCTTATTATCTATGATAGCAAACAAATTAACAGATTATTTGGCTAAAACAGTTAGGAGCCACTAAACTCGGGGGGAAATGTCTTTCCCCTTGCCTTCGAATAAGCCTCACTACAGGAGCCCACGAGCAAGCAAATGTCAGCAAAACGTTCCAAGGCATACTTTTTACTCATTCCTCCTGCAAAGAACAAACGTAAATTGTAACCATCAGAAACTGAACCGAGCTTCTTGGGAGTTGTAATTGTTGAAATGCCCCCTAAAATTGATTTCATTCTAACCCACAATGCCTCAGAATTCCTGACCCGGAATAAGCCAATCGGAGGGGGATCATAATAAGGCGAGCTACGAATGGAGAGGAGACGCCTTCGGTTGCAGCCAATCGCGTCTCGGGGATTGCAGTGGTGCCGGAGAGCGGCGATCGCCCGCCTTGCTGGGCGAATGTTCCCTTGACGGGTCGGCGATTCCAGTTCAGCTGACCTTCGCCGGGCGCCCGGAAGTTTCAAGCGGCTTCTCTGCCAGGGTCTCTGGGTATGCGAAGGCAGCAACAGCGGCATTAGCCGATACGTGACTTGGAGTGGTCCTTCCTCCGTGGGGCGGGAGTAGCAAAGCGCCTCCCCTTCTGCGTCCAATGAAAGTGAGGGCGGTAATGGGGATCCCTGGACCTGGGACTGGGGCCGGAGGGGCAGGAAAGAGACGGGGAATTGAGATGGGAGTGGATTAAATCAAGGCGTACGGGAAAGAACGCAAGGCAGAGATCATGAACGCTGCTGCTACTTCGATCCCTGGAGTTCTTTTAGATCTCCAAATTATTCTGTCCAAGACTAAGGATTTGCAATCACTTGTACTGTCGCTCGATTTAGTCTGAAGCTCGGTGGCAGTTGGTTCCTAGTTAGGTTTAGCATTACAGCTCAACTCAATCTTATTATGTTCAAACGGAAACCCAGATCGGGTAATTAGGGTTTTTTTATGAGTGAGTTTGCAATCTTATTTACCTTCCTTAAAACCAGTGTAGTGATTTCATTGATACTATGTGATCCCGGTACGAGAGCTGCACTACAAGAAGGTGTAAGGACCAGGCCAGGCAGCTGCCGGGAGTTGAGTTGAGTTATTGACTTGTAAGCATGAAAAGCAAAAGAAAAGCTGTAAAGTTCAGTGTCCTAATTGAAATATATATTCCTAGAAGTAAGTCGCAGGCTGCTTGTGGATAAATATGTTTGGACTTTGGAGTGGGATTTTATTTGAAGGCTGTAATTGTGTGTTTGGAAGTGCTAGTAAAATTGCTAGACTTCCAATTAAGTATCCATAGAACAGTATTTCAAATGCCAGTCTTACACATGCTTTCTTGAAGATCCTATTTCACATAGTGGGATTTCTATAGTTTAACCCTAGGGATTCATCAGACATCTATAAATTTTTAAATGAAACTTCTTTCTAATGTTTGTGTGAACAGATTACTTGGCTTTGAATTTAGTTATAGTAAGAAGCCGTTGAGTACTTCTGTGATATTTGTGTAGCACTAAACACAATTTGCTCATATGTTATTATATAAATAGCACATTTAAATAATATTTCTTAGGTCTGATCCTAAGTACAAGTTTGCCAAGTAACTTTCATGGCAATGTATAGATTCCCAAAGCAGCCTATTGTGATGTTTCCTTGTACCAGCATTGCAATGCATCATATATAGAGACAGTGCTGTGTTGCAACAGGAGCTCCGTTTAATTAAAAATCTGCTATAAAATATTAGGTAGTGTGATAGTGTGGTTTAAATAGAGGAATACATCCATATTTTCATTAAGTGATTTCAAATTCTTCACCTGCTTGGCACTCTTTCAATTTGTTTTGGTGTGGAATTTCTGAATAAGAAATTGGGCCTACTCAAATGGAGATAGTCACTTCCCATTTAGAGGGTGCTTATTCTGCAGATAGTCCTCAACCTATGACCACAATTGAGCCTAAAATTTCTGTTGCTGAGCGAGACAGTTAAGTGAGTTTTGCCCCATTTTATGACCTTTCATGCCACAGTTGTTAAGTGAATCATGCAGTTAAATTAGTAACATGGTTGTTAAGTAAATCTAACTTCCGTATTGATTTTGCTTGTCAGACGTTAGCAAAAGGTGATCACATGACCCTGCAATTATCTAAACCAGGCATGTCAAACTTGCGACGTCATGTGACGTCGCGCAATGTATCACAACTTTTTCCCCATTGCCAGCAATGGAGTGGGCATGGTTTTGGCGTGACGCATCTGCTCTGCAGGCTGGCAGTTTGACATGCCTGATCTAAACTAAAACATTTCTGGGAATGTTGATTGCCATTATCTGTGGAATTAACTGTGGAACTTGTAAGAATCCTCCAAAAATTCCAGTATTTGTGGGAGTGTAATATCTTTCTAGCTTTTTATTTATTTCAAAATTGCTCCAAGCTGTGATTAAATTAAGCCTACTTTATTATGTATTACAAATAATATACCAAATTACATAATGAATAATTTTAGCCATGTTTAGCCTTTGAGAAAAAAATCAATCCACAAGTGGTTAGCATGTATTTAATAAATATTCAAAATTTACTTTTTGTGTTTATATGATGTTAACAAATAAAAACCTACGAGATTTATTTTCTGCATACATTAATCTTGTTATGGTGTTTATATAGTCCTGTGCATTCTGATGCAGGACTTCATAATTTTAAAATCTCACAGCTTGTTTTTTTCATCATGATCTAACAGTACAACCTTCCTTCCTAAAGAATGAATTATATCAAATTGTGTTAAAACATAGCATATATGTTATGAAATTACTTCATATCACTATAATTATTAATAACAACTTTCTTTGTAGTAGAATCTTACGTATGACAAGGAAAAATGAATACCTCAATGAATGTGGAGCCTGATGCACTCACCGTAGTAAACCAGCTAAGAGATCTGGCAGCTGATCCTCTGAATAGAAGAGCAATTGTCCAGGATCAGGGATGTCTACCAGGCCTTATATTATTTTTGGATCATCCCAACCCACCAGTTGTCCATTCAGCGTTACTTGTAAGTATTATTGGATAGCTCATCTTACAGCATTAAGGGTTTCGGGAAGCTATGGAATCTAAAATGTAAGAACCTAAATGCATATTTGCTATCATGCGTTTCCATGATTTCATTCAGGTACTGTGACTACACATGAAGAAAATTGCTTGAATTTGGGTTCTCTGGATGTGTTGCAAAATCCTGAGTAGAACAAGTTAAATCCTTTATCCCACTGACATAGAAAGATAGCTGAAATGAAAATGATGGGAAAAATTATAGCACACTTAGTATAGTTTAGAGCTCATTTACCTATATCAGTGATGGCAAATCTTTTAGAGACTGAGTGCCCAAGAACCGCCCCGCCCCCCCAGCCGCCCTCTGCCCCTGCCCCGCCCACCTGCAGGGCCACTCACCACCTCCATGGCCAGCTGCAGCAGATTGCCCAGATGGCCTTGCAGTGCTGTGGCAGCCATGCCCTATGCCCTCACCCCGCAGCATCATCTGCACGCGATGGGGGGCAAGGGCGGAGTCTTGTCTCTGCTGCCTGGCTGCCATGTTCTTGGTTGCGCTGCTCTGTGCGGTCCGTGCCTGGGGAGACTCTCCTGGGGGGGTGCTGGTGAGGAGGAGGTTGTGGAGAAGGCGGGGCTAGGGTAATGGCGTGCGTGCCCACAGAGAGGGCTCCGAGTGCCACCTCTGGAACGCGTGCCATAGATTCGCCACCACTGACCTATATGGTCATAGTGATAACTATAAAAAAATCTTATCTGCTTAGTGTTATGTAATTAAAGCAACAAATTTTTTTTTACAAGGCAGAGTAACATTTGGAAACCTGTATTTGCTCAGCATTTTGCAACTAAAGTTATTTAATTCATTATCATGTGAACTTTAATTGTTCTGTCTTGTCTTGGAAGTTTGTAGGACATCCATTTTATTCAAGGAGATGTTGTGGTATTTATAGACTTGTGTGATGACTAACCTTCACATTTTGCCAGAATAGATGTACATTGTGGTACATGTTTTAG